TTTTGTATAACAGATATATCACTGAGTGTTACCTCATTAATTACGTGATCAGTAGGAATACAAAGTTGGGTCAAGGAACAGATGAGAAACTACTTATATCAACCTTTAAAAACATGAACATTAATTCTGTAGGTAAGACACAAAGCTTGTTTGGCTCCAATAGGGACAATAAGGAAATAACTTTGGAGGTGATCTTTTTAATAGGAAAAAAGTCTTCAAGTCACATGTAGCTTCAGAGCTGTATTCTCCAGGAAAAGCGAATAATTCCAGGGTGGACATGGATTAAAAAACTAAAATAGATCTAAAGAAAGTCCCAAAGCCTTTTTACTTTATTTCTTCTTTCCTCAGTTGGGAATTTCTCTAATTTTCCCTCTCTTTTAAACTCCAGATCTATTACAGGTTTTAGAAGCTTTCACATCCTTGAGACTCTGCTTGTCAGCACTTGTCCTGGGTTACCAGTGGGCAGTGAAGGTAGGGGTCTGGCTGACCTTAGCGGCCACAAGGCAGCTGAGGGGCATTCAAGACAAGAATTCAAGACAAGACAATTCCTAGAATTACTTTTTTGCATTGGGATCTGGCCGTCTTAGGAAACAATTCTAACTCTGTTAGACTGTGCCTTGTCAATAAACTAATAAGGAATATTTGCCTGCATGCTCAGTTATGTCTGACTCTGTGTGACCCTACGGACCGGATATACCCCACCATGTTCCTCCATCCAGGCAAGAACTGGAGTGGGTTGCCATTTCCTGTCCCAGGGAGTCCTCCTGATGCAGGGATTGAACCTCCATCTCCTGCGTCTCCTGCATTGCAGGCAGATTCTCCCATTGAGCCACTGGAGAAGATCCCAGTAGGAGACGTCGGCAGAATTTATAATAGAAATGGTGCTTCCCAGGCAGTGGTAGTGCTTAAGAATCTGCCTGCCAGTGCAGGAAGGAGATGTAAGAGAGGCTAGTTCAATCCCTGGGTTGGGGAGATCCCCTGGAGAAGGGCACAGCAGTCCACTCCAGTATTCTTGCCTGGAGAATCCTGTGGACAGAGGAGCCTGGTGGACTACAGTCCATGGGGTCACAAAGAGTGAAGCAACTTAGCACATACACACACACGTAATAGAAGCAACAATCCTATTTATCTTGATTGCTTATTCCTGCAGCTCTTGGGCTGAAAATGTGTCTGTCCCAGCATCAGCTGTATTATTACTGCCCTTTATTTTTAATTTTTAAATTGTTTTACGGTCCTACTTTATATTTAAAAATTACCTGTATTTTGGCTGCATTGGGTCTCCATTGCTGCACATGGGTTTTCTCTGATCATGGAGGCTACTCTTCATTGCAGTGTGTGAGCTTCTCATTGCAGGGGCTTCTCTTGTTGTGGGATTTAGAGTGTGGGTTTCAGTAGTTGTGGTGGGTGGGTTTAGTTGCTCTGTGGTATGTGGGATCCTCCTAGAGGGATTGAACCCGTGTCCCCTGCATTGGCAGGTGGATTCTTAACCACTGGGCCACCTGGGAAGTCCCTATTACTGCCTTTTAAAGAGAGCTGGGAGCTGGACTCTGTGCTAAGATTTTACATAGATTCCCTCTGCTGACCCTCCGAAAACCCTATTAGGGTTCAGTTCAGTTGCTCAGTCGTGTCTGGCTCTTTGCAACCCCATGGACTGCAGCACGCCATGCCTCCCTGTCCATCACCAGCTTCCAGAGTTTGCTCAAACCCATGTCCATCGAGTTGGTGATGCCTTCCAACCGTCTCATCCTCTGTCGTCCCCTTCTTCTCCTGCTTTCAATCTTTCCCAGCATCAGGGTCTTTTCAAATGAATCAGTTCTTTGCATCAGGTGGCCAAAAGATTGGAGTTTCAGCTTCAGCATCAGTCCTTTCAATGAATATTCAGGACTGATTTCCTTTAGGATGGACTGGTTGGATCTCCTTGCAGTCTAAGACTCTCAAGAGTCTTCTCCAACACCACAGTTCAAAAGCATCAATTCTTTGGCACTCAGCTTTCTTTATAGTCCAACTCTCACATCCATACATGACCACTGGAAAAACCATAGCCTTGACTAGACAGACCTTTTTTGGCAATGTCTCTGCTTTTTAATATTCTGTCTAGGTTGGTCATAGCTTTTCTTCCAAGGAGTAAGCGTCTTTTAATTTCGTGGCTGCTGTCACCATCTGCACTGATTTTGGAGCCCCCCTAAATAAAGGGTTTTATTATTTAAATCATAACCTATTAGGGTTATGGTCCCGTTGTTTGAATGATGGCTTTCTAAGGGAGACATTGCTTGAGAAACATTTGGCTTTGGGGACCCTCGGTGGCTTCAGTTTCCTTGTCTGCAAACTGAGGGAGGGGCCTGAGTGATTGCTCCCGCCTCTGACATCCTCAGGTCCTTCCCTGCAATCCCACAGGACATAGCGTTTGGCTCGGGGCCCTGTGAGAGGGTGATTTCCTACTGATCTGAGGGTCCCCTGCAAGGTGGCCTTTTCTTGTCTTCCTGAATCCGATCTCCTTTGTCCCCTCTTCCATTCACGGCTCCTCGCGTACCTGGCAGGGTCCAATGTCACCTGATAAAAAGACCAAAGAAAGAGTTGGACTTGGGAAGGAGGAAGTTGGTCTCCACACAATGCCTGTTTCAGCCCTGGGATTTCCCCGTGTGTGCTAAGTTGCTTCGGTCCTGTCTGACTCTTTGTGACCCCATGGACTGTAGCCTGTCAGGCTCTTTGTCCATGGTATTTCCCAGGCAAGAAGACTGGTGTGGGTAGTCCTTCCCTTCTCCAGGGGATCTTCCCGACCGAGGGATCAAACCCATGTCTCTTGCGTCTCCTGCATTGGCAGGTGGGTTCTTCACCTCTAAGCCGCTTGGGAAGCCTCTGCTTCCTTGTAGGTGGTGATAATTAAAGGCTGATGTCCCGGGGGCTGATGCAGCAGGTGGATTTACCTGTTGACAACCGTTCCTTCAGTCACAGTGTTTGAGAATTTATGTAATAAAAGGTTTGGGACTTAAAAAATCTAATGGGATCTAACTTTTTAATCAGGAAAATTTTCTCCCAATTTTACTTTTTGTTTCCTCTCGGGTGTGCTAAAAGTAATTGGACGCCTACTTACTTTAACAAGCTTCCAGCAATTTGTGAAATGATTCCTTGTTTTACTTTATTTATTTATTTATTTCCTTGTTTTGTTTTAAATCAATAGTTTCTTACTGACTAAGGTAAGTTCACACTGAATTTGAGATTGGATGTAGATAGGGTTCAGTTCAGTCGCTCAGTGGTGTCCAACTCTGTGACCCCATGGACTGCCATAGAGGGTAGAATGTGCTGATTTTAAAGGTCGTAAGAATGTTTTCTCTTGTTTACTCATGAAAAATCATTTTTCCTCCACATACGACAAGTATTAATATAAAGGTAAGAAAAAACAGCAATTTTATCATTGTTTTTTATTAGAATTACATAGAGTTGCTAAAACAAAAATTCACCCAAGTAGATTCTAAAGGTTGAATTGACTGTATTGGGTGACTCATGAATCCAGCAGCACCCCATCTGGTCAGTAGAGAGGGCTCCTTGTCTTGCCTTTAGAAACCTCCCAAGCCAAAAAAAAAAAGCATTTCAAGCTTAGGCAACCTTCCTGTGTGGAAGGAGAGGGCCCATGTGCAAACCATCTTTCTTTGGGGATGGAAAGGACCACCTCCTTGGGTGTTGATCAGAGAATTTCACAGTGAAATTACCTCCTCCAGGGTTATATTCCTGGGGAAACTGACCTGCAGTTAGGTTGGGGGTTAAGTCTTGGTTTTAGCATGGGTACTCCATCTGGAGCCTGTGCGTTTTCCCACACCGTGAGGTTGGCCAGGATCATCCCTATTAGAACCACTAGGAGGGGTGGGTTAAAATGCAGAGTCCTGGGCAGCCTCCTGGCTGAGGGTGGGAGGTAGGCTCAGAGTCTGTACTTCACAGACTCCCACCCGGTTCTGACCCTCTCTGCGGGAGTCTGCTTCTGGAACCCCATTTTTAAAGAAGAAAGGAAATCTTTTCATAAGCATGTGATGTTATGTTAACACTTCTCCTAGAGCTTGACATTTACATTGGGTCTAGATCTTACCATTTTAGATCATTGCTCTGATGGACATTATTGTTGACTCATTTTACATTCCTTAGTGTCTTCTAGTGGTAAAATTATTCAAAGCTAATTCTAAGAGAATGATGACAGCTTTCTAACTGTATTGTTTTTCATTTAAAAACTTTATTGTTATTTAAAAACTTTACTATTATTATTTAGCTAAAGCTAAAATAAATTGGAGAAGGAAATGGCAACCCACTCCAATATTCTTGCCTGGGAAATCCCATGGACAGAGGAGCCTGGCGGGCTACAGTCCTTGGGGTCGCAGAAGAATCTGACATGACTTAGCAACTGAACAAACAAAATAAAATTAAAGGAAAAAAAAACTGGGAGAGAATATTTCTTATAAATATGAGAAAGGGAAGCTATGTTTCAAACATGAGAAGACAGGGGACATCCCAGCAGAAAATGGGGCCGTGGCCTTGACCACGCAGTGGGGACGGCCTCCTTGCTCCTGATCACTAGTCCTTGTGACCTGGCCTGACCCTGTCCTTTTGTCTGGGGCTCCCCTGCCTCTACCCACAGCTGATCTCTCCTGGGGAGGCACCCCCCAGTGCTCCCTGGACACCCCCCAGAACCCCTCTGCCTGATGCCCCATCTGCACGACACCCAAGTGGGTCTAAATCAGGGGCAAGACACACAGACTTGTCTCTGGGCTGCCCTGCTCACAGGTCTCTTATCTGTGAGGCTGTTTTATATGTTTATTAGTCATTTCATTCCTTTCATTGATTACACTGTGTGCCTCAAACAACATGCTTGACTGTTGGGGCATTGGAGGAGGTGTAAATAGGCGCAGGCTTAATTGAGGACAATTGGGCCTTTTGGTATCAAGAAGCTTAAACTGCTGAGGAGACTTGTGCGTATAGACAAGTTCTACCCAGGTGTTTACTTCATTTATTTAAAGTTCTCCTAGGCTCCCAGCTGCAGCTGCTCCTCACCAGAAGGTTGATGACCTGGCCTTCTTAAAAGAGATACAGGACCTCGCCCAGGAAGTTTATGAAGTGATGGACAAGGCTAGAAACTTACAAAAACTTACTCTTTCTGGGTAGAAAGATCCAAGACTCCAGGCAAGTAAATCTCTCAGACTCTCCACTCCATCCTGGTACTTAGGGTTGCTGATTTAGCTAATGAAAACAAAAGACATCCATTTAAATTTTTACCATAAGTATATCTAGTATATAATTTTTGCTACGGGCTCTCTGAAGCCATTGTTTCATTTTTTTTTTTTTTCCTGTGGCAGGCTCCATTGATTAGATCATTGGTGATTCACTCCATCTCCAGCCCCTCACTCTCGATGGTCAGGGGTGGTCACTGGTGTGGGGGGAATGAAAGGTCCAGCTGGATTCTTGGGTAGAAATTGATCAGAGGCCAGATGAGAGATTCAGGCGAGGCTTTACTGAGGCCCCTGCTGCATCAGAAGGGAGCGAGAACAAGTGAGAGGCTCCCTTAAGTGGGACGAGTGTGGGGGCAGGTCAGTGGGTCCTGTTGAGTGATCTGCCCAGCCCCTTGGAGGTGCTGTCTGCAGGGATCATGTTCAGGACACTGCCTTGTAGTTGGGTTTTGGCCTTTTTGTATCCTGTTGTTCATACTTTGGCCCAACTGCAGGAGATATTTGTCCAGATGCAAGCAGTCCCCAAGTCCAGCCTGTCTCAGAAATGTGTCTCGGCTTTTCCAGTGAAGCCATCTGGGCACCCAAGCCTCCAGGCATGTCCTTAGTGTTCAGAGGCACGGTCATCACTTGGAGGTTACAGGGCTTTTCGAAGCTCTCCTGTCAGGAACAAGGACTGATGCACGAAGAGATGCTCCGGTCATACCCACCACTCAGGAAATGAGAGTTTTAAGAGCCTGTGTTAGTAGCCGAAAGCAGAGATCAGCACATATTTCTTATTTTATCACAACCAGATTCCAAATATAATCTGAAAAAGCATACTTTCATGTTTTTCTCTCTCTTCAATTTTTTCTTTCTCTTGTTTTTCTTTACTTTCCCTTTATTCTCTCTGTCCTGTATGCTCACAATGCCTATGGAATTGGAGACTGAGAAAATAATAAATGGTTATTTGGTAATTCCATTTAATTTATTGGTTATTCCAATAAATAATAAATGGCAAGTGGTTGAAACTTGGTTTACCAGTTAAATCACTTCCCTGAAACTTATTTAATATTGGTGTGTTTTGAAAGGAGTGACAGTTGCCTTCAGATTTATTTCTCAGGTTGTTGTAATCATCTCTCAGAGCAGGACTCTGTGATTGGCATTTGATTTTGGAACTAGAATAGGTGCTTGGCATGTGCTGTCTGGTTGCTGCCTGAACTAATATCTCTGATGTCTTCTTTTTGTAGATTCTCCTTATGGTTCCAGTTTTTTAACAGTAAGTATTTTAACAAAAGTTTGAAACTTAGTCTTTGGAGATATAATGGCGTTGACTGAAAAAAAAAAAGCTGAGAATTATGTTTTTAAAACTATTTTTAATTTTTAAATTTTTGGCTGCATTGTATGGCCCAAAGGATCTTAGTTCCCTGATCAGGGGTGGAACTCATGCCCCCTGCAGTAGAAGCAGAGAGTCCTAACCAGTGTACCGCTGGGGAATTCCAAGAACTTTTTTTTTTTTAATTTTAAGAACTATGTTTTATTCAGTGTACTTCTGAGGACTTAAGCCAGGGACAGCTTTCCTGGTGGCTCAGATGATAATGAATCTGCCTGCAATGCAGGATTCCTGGATTGAGAAAATTCCCCTGGAGAAGGGAATGGCAACCCACTCCATATTCTTGCTTAGAGAATTCTATGGACAGAGGAGCCTGGTGGGCTACAGTCCATAGGGTCTCAAAAGAGTCAGACATGACTTAGCGACTAATACTTTCACGTACACTTATAGTCTCTCAGTTCTCTCTGACGAACTGTTCTGAAGAGTCAAGGGAGGAACCTGGACAGGTAGGAATTTTTGCAACACAGACAGGGAAGTCAGAACATCAAAAGATTACTGTTGATCAAGGAAGAAGCATGTGTTGTGTGAATGAACTTAGTGCTGTCCACGCATGGGAAGATGCAAGAGTCTGGGCTCATCGTAATCATCTTTCGGATGTGCATCTCAGTTATCTGGGGCCAGTGTCTTGCTCTTCTCCATCCTGAACCTGCTCAGGGTGCATAGGGGAGGGGAGGGGAGTGGAGGGGTGGGGAGGGGAGGAGAGGGGAATGGAGGGGTGGGGAGGGGTGGTAGAGTGGTCTCAGCTGCAGTGCCTGCTGGCTTGATGGCTGCAGCATTCCCTGTTTACTGATATGGCAGGTGACATTCTTCTTCCACCACAGTTAAGTTCAAAGCACTGATTTTAAGTTTATTCTTCAAACACATCTTTCGAGTGACTTGATTGTTAGTTAACACTGTATAGACGCTGTATTTGAGATAGCCAGAATCCTGCAAGAGATGGATTAAAAGGCGAGTGTACTCTTCTTAAGTAAGGTCGTGAGTTTAGAAAACCAGAGGGTGGACATGGAGGCTGGATGGTTGTGGGTGACTCAGGGCAAGTGGCTCTATTCTTCCACTGGAGGGTGCCCAGGTTCCATCCTTGGTCAGAGAACTAAGATACCGCAAGCCACAGCATAGCCAAAAAAAAAAAAAAGATCCATGTGTTTGGCACAAATCTTTGACCTGCATTAGATACACAGCCTTCAGTTAAGGCCCCAGTTATTGCCGGGGGACATTTTGCTTTCCAAGGGACATTTGACAGTGTGGAACATATTTTTGCTCAGTGGTGGTGGGTGGGGGGAGGACGAATTTTTGTGAGGATGGAAGTATTCAGTTATTGACACTATAACTGATATAGTCATGATTGTGCTCAGCTGCAAGAACAGAAAAAATCCAAATAACAGTAGCTATTCCAGTTTTGTTCAGATTTGAACAATTCATCATCTATTTCCAAAATCTCTCTCAACATCTTGGAAATTGGTTCAGCTTGTTACAAAAACAGACGTCTATCTCTCTTCCCCGGTTCAAACTTCCACAACCATTAAAAAACCAACCTCACGGAGTACATTTAAAATCAGGTCTGTTCAAAGTAGAGACTCAGGAGGCATGACTTTGCCCCCAGGGTTTCTGCCTTCTTACCGCTGTTGCGGCCCTGTCCCTCCCCCTCCCACCTGGCGTTTTGTTCCATCAGATGGATCTTAATAAGACCGAGGACGTGATTGGGAAGCTCGAGAGTCTTCTCCAGCAGCCTCACCTCTGGGATTTTCTGCTTTTACTGCCAAGACTCTATGCCAACAACTTCCACATTGCAGATGCCGTCCTCGGGGGAGGACACCTACTCCACGCGGTTCTGAGGTGAGTTAAAATGAGAAACGTAACCAGTTACAGAGGATTTGATTATCCTTCTTCTTATTTTTTTTTTTTTTTTTTTTAGTTTTTTTGTTGTTGCTGTTGTTTTGTTTTGCTTTGTTTAGTTTTGGCTGTGCTGGGTCTTCTTTTTTTTGTATCGTCATCTTTTTTTTCCTAATCTTATTTTTAATTGGAGGATAATTGCTTTGCAATGTTGTGTTGGTTTCTTCCTCCTCACTTTTTAATGGGAAAATACATCTCTGAGTGATTGATACAAGAAAAACAGGCATTATATCTCTGGAATTATACCACCCAGAGATGGCTGAACTCTTGCTTCTCCACGCCTGCCTCTCACTCCCTGTATAAATATTTTATGTAAGTGCGGTGATGTTATTCAGAGCATGTGCTCCCTGATTTAAACAATATAATGTTGCATCATTCACGTTTCCTGTGTCCTGATAGTCTTCAGATGAGCATCATCACTGGCTGAATAACATTCCATTTTGATAAGGTATAGTAGACTGCAGTTTCAGTTCAGTTCAGTTGCTCAGTCGTGTCCGACTCTTTGCGACCCCATGAATAGCAGCACACCAGGCCTCCCTGTCCATCACCAACTCCTGGAGCCCACCCAAACTCATGTCCATTGAGTCGGTGATGCCATCCAACCATCTCATCCTCTGTCGTCCCCTTCTCCTGCCTTCAATGTTTCCCAGCATCAGAGTCTTTTCCAATGAGTCAGCTCTCCACATCAGGTGGCCAAAGTATTGGAGTTTCAGCTTCAACATCAGTCCCTCCAGTGAACACCCAGGACTGATATCCTTTAGGATGGACTGGTTGGATCTCCTTGCAGTCCAAGTGACTCTTAAGAATCTTCTCCAACACCACAGTTCAAAAGCATCAATTCTTTGGCACTCAGCTTTCTTTGTAGTCCAACTCTCACATCCATACATGACCACTGGAAAAACCATAGCCTTGACTAGACAGACCTTTGTTGGCAAAGCAATATCTCTGCTTTTTAATATGATGCCTAGCTTGACCGCAGTTTACTTGATAATTTATAACTGGTCTTCGGTTGTTTCTGAGCTTTTCGTTACTGGAGGTATGACATGAACATAATATTACTGAATCCAAGCTTGCTAAGCTTGCTCTGTTCGCTGCATGACAGGCCAATGAATCCAAGAGACGAGGTGCTGAGGCAGGGAATCTGACTTTATTCAGAAGGCTGGCTGGCTTACCGAGAAGATGGCAAACTACCATCTGGTTGGGGTCTGGATGCTGGGTTCTTTTATGGTTCATAGATGGGGGGTGGTGGGGAAGCAAAGTAAAGAGGCCATTCAATCTTGCAAGTATCTCTTAGAATGGCAAGCCTCAGGCAGGGGGACGGGTTAATTTCTTTTTTTCTGCCATCTCCGGTGGACAGGGTTCCAAACAAAGGCACTTTAGTTTAACAGTCAGGCAGAGGGGCAGGATTCTTTGAGGCAGGACATTGTATGATAATAATAATAATAATTATTGATAATAATAACAAAAACAACAGAAAGCAAGTTAAAGAAACAGTTCCTACATGGAGTCAGAATTGACCTCTCCCTGCAACAATAACACTTTAAACTAGTTTCTTAGTAAATGATGCTGCAGTGGCCCCAAATATTACCCAAAACAGCTGACTCAGTCTTACCAGTTGTGGTTCATGGAGCAGCACATTGATCTCCTGTGATGGACCTGGCCCCATGTTATCCTGGGTTGAGATAGGAGCGAGATCTAAGCCCCTGATTAAAGTAACAACCTTCTGCTTTCCCTTCTACCTTGTTTTAAATAGCTGCTGCTCATCAGTCACCACTTTCACTTCAGTGTTCTTGCTTACCAGTCACACCTATGGAAACTAGGGCTACCTGGGGAGGGGAGGGATCTGGGCTGCTTGAGCAGGAAGTTTCCTGTGTATAACGATATTCAGAACAAAGCCGGGGGCTCAGCCTTTGGAGGTGACTCTGCTGGGCCTGCACCGGTGCTGAATAAACTCAGCTGTTGTGCATCTCCGAGTGCCTCTGTGTCTTTCTGACGCCATGGTTTCCATAACAGGGTGACCTTTGGGAGGACTCCTTCTCAGCTGGCTTCCCACATTTTAATAGCGTGGTCTTCCCCCCCACCCAAATTGGACTCTGTAAATCTGTCCTATGAACAGGGTATTTTATTAGTAAAAGTTGATACTGATTTCTCTGCCATCAGTGAGAGCAGTCAGCATTGCCCTCAGGCCAGCAGGGTGGAGCCCCAGTTGTGGCCTCCACTCTGGCCTTTGCAGAGGAGCACCCCCCACCCGAGCTCCCTGCCCAAGGGGCCAGAGCCCACTATGAGAGCTCCATAGGCCCCTTCCCTACCCCCATGGAGGAAAGCTCTCCCCACTGGAGTGTGCACCCCCAGGTCCTGGGTGGCCAGGGTCCGCTGTGGGCAGGAGTGTAAGGTGGAGGCTGTGACTGCTGCTTGGATGTGCAGGCAGGAGTGTCCAGGGGTGCAGACGGGGCCTCAGAGATGCAGACAGAGCTGAGGGGTGGGCAGAACTGGGCAGGGGTGGGGGGGACCAGGGACTCCTACCCCCTCATCCTGGTGCATAACTCAGAACATTATGAAGTTGAACAAGGCTTCCCACAGGGTTCTCCAGCAGGCACCGGGCCCCCGGATATTAGACTGAGTGTCCAAACTTGACACAGGCGGGCTGATAAGCACTTTTCTGAGGTCACAGCACTTGGCACCTGTCGGCTTCCTGAGTGGACCAAAGAAAGCACTTAACTTTTGTGTTTAATTCCTGGTCCAGAGAGTCAGGGTCACACTCCAGCCTTGGGAGTTCCAGCCACGTCCTGCTGGAGTGGGGTGGGGCGGGCCGGGGCGATGCTGCATGTTTTGCTAATGATGCTCTGGTTGTGCTTCATTTCCAGTTCCTTATCAGCTCTAGAAGATTTAGATTGGCTGCCACTCAACCACACCTTCTCTAGGGTCTCTGAAATGGTGCTAAAGGTGGCCATTTCAACGCTGGCATTCCTGCGGGAGAGTGGAGCGCTGGCCACAGGTATGGGCATCTTACCGCTGTTGTGACATTTCACTGCTGTACTGGTTAAATTTATCAGCCACCACCACAGAGCTCACATGCTGTTCAAAGAAATGATTGAAATAAAATATCAAACGTAAGAAAGAATCAGTTGTTTCTGATAGAGGTAGGACGAAAATTTGGAACTCAAAACAATTTGACTTTCTACCAAAATTCTGCAGTCATTTCTAATAAATATGTTATTTTTAATTAAAAAAATAACTGATTTTAAAACTCTAGGACTTGATGCCCTTCAAGAATAGACCTGTCATTGGTTTTTTTTTTTTTTTTTTTGGTTGTACCACTCAACCTGTGGGATCTTTGTTCCCTGAACAGGGATGGAAAACTGGACTCCTAAAGGAAGTACAGAGCCCAACCCATTGGACCACTAGGGAAGTCCCATTAGTTCTTTGATTTTAGTCTTTCCTCCCTCCTGAACTCCTATTAGGAAAACATATTTGAAAAATATTTGAAGTATTTGAAAAACAATAAGAGGAGAAAGGTGATATGGATTTAGAACCACACCCCCTGCCCCCAACCGAATAGATAGTCTTTCCACAGGAAAATGACTTAGCTTGACCCAGGTATCCTTTCTTTTTTCCTTAAATTTTCATTTTCTTTTATTTTACTAACCAAATTGTATATATTCAAAGTGTACAAGGTAATGGTTTAATATATGTATATGTGGTAACCTGATCACCAAAAACAAGTTACTTAAAACATTCACCACTTCACACAGTTGCCTTTTTTGGGTGATAATGATGTCTGAGTAAATTTCAATTATATGATACAGCATTGTTGACTGTAATCCCAGTGCCATGCAGGAAATCTCCAGAACTTACTTTCACTGAAAGTCTGTACTATGTATGACCAATACCTCTCGCCTGGCACGTCTCCACACACGGGAAGTGCTTGTTTTAATCTCAGAACCTGTCTTTTCCCAAGCTAGATTCCTGGGTACCGCCCCCGCCCCCGACTTCAGAACCTACCCAGAGTTCCCTGTGACCCTGACTTTCTGTCATCTTTATTAATTAATCAGCATTAATTTCAGGGCACGTGAAGTCTCGTAGGAGGGCTTGTGGTGGAGGCTTGATTAGCTGATGCTTGCTGAATCATGATCTGAAATGACCTAGAGCTGGGTTTCCAGATGCAGGTTCACCTTGGAATTTATGTGCTTTTAGGTTTGAAGTTGCCAGGCCACACTCACCAGAGATCACCCGACCTTGGAGGTCTCAGGTGTAGATTTTGGGGCGGGGGTTGCCACTTCTGTATGGCGTTGTTGGCTTACTTGGGTACCTTATGAGTTTTATATCTTGATTAGCTCTTTTGCAGGGGAACTTTTTCTTTGGTTTTAAATAATTTTTATAAATATGATTTTAAGGACTCCACAGTATTTTGTGCTACAAATAAATCATATTTCCTTCTCTCCTCCAGCACTAGACACTGAGTTGGTTTTCAGTATTTAAACAATGTAAAATCAGTGCAGTAATATCGTGGTTCATGACTTTTCCTTCAGGCATCTTATTAGGTTTCTTGAGATAGATTTTTTTAAAATAAAATTATTGGGTTCAATATGTGAATTTCATAAACTTCTTGCCACTCCCTTTTCCAGGGAATCTTCCCGACCCAGGGATTGAACTCAGGTCTCCTGCATTGCAGGCAGATTCTTTACCATCTGAGCCAAACCAGGGAAGCCCATTATCAAATGACCCTCTAGAAATTTGTGGTCATTTATGTGCCAGGAGGTGGCTCAGTAGTAAAGAATCCACCGGCTAATGCGGGAGATGCGGGAGATGAGGGTTTGATCCCTAGGTCGGGACCATCTCCTGGAGGAGGAAATGGCAACCTGCCCCAGTGTGCTTGCCTGGAACATTCCATGAACAGAGGAGCCTGGCCGGCTATAGTCCATAGGGTCTCAAAGAATTGGATATGACTGAGCATGCAAGGAAGCAAGTGATGTATCACCACAATCTCCCTAGCTCCGGATTAGCTTCTGTTTGCTCTTCCTGTGAATGGTCCAGTTGGCCTTTGTGCCACATTTGCCTTTCTGTTCGAAGTGGAAAAGACATCATTTTCTAAATGACTTTTGACCTGTTGCAGTGTTGCCGCAGCCGATGGTATATATCACTGGTTGTCTTGCAGAGTCAGGTTACAGCCTGTCTGTGAAGGAGCTGATGTGGGACCCACAGAAGGTTCAGGCTGACCTGAAATCCCGATTTGGCTTTGATGACCTTCACGCAGAACGAGTCCTGAATTACTCTGCTGACCTACAGGAGGTACACATGCTTTGGGTCTCTCCTTGAGGGTGACTGTAGAACCTTCTCCTGGGACCTCGGGGCGGGAGTGCCCTTATTGAAATTTCGCTCCTTGGACCGGGCAGGACGCTGCTGTTTCTGACTTCTCTAGAACTGCTCCTTCCCTCTTTCCTTGTCTCATGATCCCGCCTCAAACACAGTTTGGATGTAATAGAATACCTCGAAGCTGCTGGGGGACAAGCCAGGCCCCTGAGGGTGGGAGGTTGTGAAGGCCGGTGGGGTCCAGATGGGGCAGAGGGCATGGCAGGGCTGGTTTCCAGGCAGAGCGGTGCCTGGGGAGCAGAGGTGTAGGCCTGGGGAACCAGCTGGACCAGAGTCCAGATTGGAGCCTCACTTTCCAAACTGTAAAATCAGGGGCTCTGACCCACTGACCCCTCCAAGCCCCACTAGCAGCTTCTCCTGAGGGTCTGGGAGGCCCTTACCTGCTGACCCTTTAGTTTCTTGGCACACCTGTGGGTACTTCTGCTTCTCGTGGGGCAGGAGCCAAATACTGCAGACCTGTCTGCATTCTGTGCCCACTCCCCCAGACCCCTTCCCTACCTCCAGATGGGATGACACCACGATTGTTATAAAACTATGTAATAGAGGAACACAGTTCATTCCAACAAGAACATACATGTTTTAATGGAGTTGTATTAGAGAAACTTCATGTGAAGGTCATTCACAGCAATAAAGGAGGTTTGGTTTGAAAATATTAAGTAATTTCTGACCAAGAACTCTGATTCAACTTCATTCAGTTCTGATACTTAGAAAACAATTTTGGCAAAGCAAATTTGTGAGTCCAAGGTATCAGTTAAACTCAGCCTGTGGATGCCTTTGGCCCAAGAGAGTGGAGACAAACAGTATCTGAAATCATCCCATGTCCTGGAGAAATTGCGGTTCTCCTGAAAAGGGTCATCAGCTTACTCCTGCACTCTGAAGGCCTCTCCTCCAGCAAATGCACACGGACAATAGTGCTCCGTCAACTTGTTATGTCTTCCATCAAACAAATGTCAGAGCTTTTTCTTTGGCAAGACTGTGGTATTACTAGGGGAAAAACATCCCAGGAAAAAGGCTCTGATTTCTAAATAGTTCCTGTATCACTGGCAGATTCCCACAGACAGTTCACTGGAGCAGATGCTGTGCTCAGCCTTGTCTGGCTCCTCTGAGGATGAAGACGATGGAGAGGGTCGCCCTGGAGACTGTGACCCTCGGTGGTCAGCGGCCAAAGACTACCTGGTCCACGCGGTCAGCCGGCTGCACCTCTGCCGACAGGTGCCGTCCACAGTAGACACCTTGTCCTGGCGTGCCCAGACCCAAGCACTTTCCTCCTGAGTGTTTCACTGCTGGATTTAATTTATTTACCTAATCTTTTGGATTTTCTTCTGGGTTTGATTTCTTCTTTTTTTCCTACTTATTTACTTTTGGCTATGCTGGGATTTTGCTGCCGCTCTAAGAACTTTCTCTGGTTGCAGCAAGTGGAGGCTACTCTCGTTGCAGTGTGCAGGCTTCTCATTGCAGCGGGTTCTCTTGTTGCAGCGCATGGGCTCTAGGGTACACGGTTCAGTGGTTGTGGTGTGTGGGCTCAGTTGCCCCGCCACATGTGGGTCTTACCCACATGATCCCTGACCAGGGATTGAACTGGTGTCCTGCATTGGCAGGTGGGTTCCCAACCACCGGGCCACCAGGGAAGTCCTGATTTCTTTTTAATATTTTTTTAAACTGAGGCACAGTTGATTTACAATGTTGTATTAGTTTCAGGTGTGCAGTGGTTCATTTATATATATATATATATATATATATATATAGTTCTTTCTTTTCAGGTTCTTTTTCCTTAGAGGTTCTTCTAAAATATTGCATATAGCTCCTTCTGCTATACTGTAGGTTCTTTTTGGTGATCTTATTTATACTTATTATTTTATTTTATTGGGCGGAGAACACTGAACATGAGATTTACCCTCCCACTTGGTTTTTACGTGTCCAGCACAGCAGTGCGGCCTACAGCTAAGGTCATCCAGCAAAGCCCAGAGAGGGTGCACCTGGCTTACTGAAGCGTTACAAGAGTCAGTCCATTCGTCACTGCCTGCCCCCTTCCACGTGTCCACTCTTTAACTCTACATCTTTCCGTGGGGGGAGGCGTGAGGAGCCCCACAGCCTGGCCTCTGTCTGCACCTTCTTCATATGCATCCCCTGGCCTCAGCTCACTGGGCACTCAGCACAGACAGCACCAGGGATCCCTCTTTAGTTTATTGAACTATAGTTGATTTACAATATTATGTTAATGTCTGCTGTTTAACAAAGTGATTCAGTTATATATATACACACATTCTTTTTCATACTTTCTTCCATTGTGGTTTATCAGAGGATATGGAATATAGTTCCCTGTGCTATACAGTAGGACCTTGTTGTTTATCCATCCTGTATGCAATCACCAGAAAGTCCAAAGGGACAGCACCGACCTGACCAGTATTGCCACAGTCAGTGGAAGCCTTGTCTGGGTGGCGAGCTCGTGGAGAAATGGAAGATGGTCAGCGCACATCCCTGTTCCCCACACCTCCCCATGCTTTCAGTCTGGGCGAGAATGCTCTGTTTGGGTGTAACATTGATAATGCACAATATGAACTGCCTTTAGTATCCCCAAGTTCATGACATAAAATGATATTTAGTAACTATGTATTAGCTATATAATTTTCAGACATATGAATATATTTATACCTTTCCACATCAGCTTAGTTTTTAAGATTTATTTCACTTATTTAGAAATGTATGTGATTACGTTTGGACTTCCTGATGGCTCAGCAGGGGAGGAATCTGCCTGCAATGCAGGAGCCACAGGAAACTCTCCGGGCTGGGAAGGTCCCCCAGAGAAGGAAATGGCAACCCACTCCAGTATTCTTTCCTGGAGAATCCCATGGACAGAGGAGCCTTGTGGGCTACAGTCCATAGTTCACGAAGAGTCGGACACAACTGAGTGACTAAGCACTATTATTACCTTCTCTTTTGATAATGGGGAGAGGGGAAGGAAAAAGAGAAATTGGGCCAATGAAAAAATTGCATGCATCCATTGTTGCAATTTGCAATTTTTAATTTCTGAGTAGAAATGAAATCCTAATACAATTGTTAGCAGGTGTTTCAATCTGCCAACCACATAAAAACAGGCCATCTGTCACCTAGAATAGTCTGTTGCTATTCCTTTCTTTTTTGCCTTATTTTGGCTGCATGAGCCTTTGTTGCTTTGTGTGGGCTTTCTCTAGTTGCGGCAGTGCAAGCTCTCTTCAGTGCGGTGCATGGGCTTCTCACTGCAGCGGCTTCTCTTGTGTGGAGCACAGGCTCTAGGGTGCGTGGGCTTCAGTAGTTGCAGTGTGTGGGCTCGGAGGTCGTGGCTCCCAGCCTCTAGAGCTCGGGCTCAGTAGTTGCTCCTTGGCATGTGGAATCTTCCCAGACCTGGGATTGAACCTGTGTCCCCTGCATTGGGAGGCGAATTCTTCTCCACTGTGCCACCAGGGAAGTTCTGTTACTATTTCTTAACTAAACTCTATCGTTTCCAGTTTATTATTGTTGACAACAGTGTTCTTGTTTCTTGACATGCAGGTATTTGATCGCTGGTGGAAAGGCAGCCTCTTCCAGCAGGTCCTGGCGGGGATTGGCCGTGGCCTGGAGGCACTGAGGACTCAGCCTGGGGAGGGGAGCCAGCCCTGCAAGGTGGCCAGGGCTTTGCAGGCCGCTCTCCTCCTCCTGAGTGGCAGCGTGGCAGCAGATGGCCCCGAGGGCAGCCACACACCTGCCAGGATGTAAGGCGCTTTTCCTGTTTGATTGTCGGCGGGGTTCGACAACTCCAATTTTAAAGAGTGCATGACTCTTAGGATGCGTTCTGTGCAACCCTGATTAGACAACAAAGGGCTAGTTAGTGACTGCAAAGCGTGAGGCTTGTATTGTGGACCCTGGTAGGACTGTTTGCAGCAATCCACATGCCTGTTCAGGTGTTCAAAACAACCGACGAGGGTACAATGTTTGAGGAGGTTTTCAGGTTCTCGATCTTTAGGTGTTGTGTCTTAAAAATGAATATAAATATTTTAAAGGTCCTTTCCTATAAGGAAGTACCTATTTTCTTATTTCTTTATAACTTTTCATGTAGTTTAAATGTTTACGTGAGGTCCACAAATATTTCAGAAGTAGGAAAGGTGGGTCATGTGTTTTCATGTTTAAGATACTGAAACCGACATTCACTCACATGGAAGGGGGAGGAGTCTAGAGCAACACGGGGTCTGTTTTTTCAGCAGAGGTGGCTGTTTGTAGTGATTTGATGCATCTTTCGTTGTTCAGTTGCTGAGTCATTGTCTGCTCTTTGCGACCCCAGGGACTGCAGCACGTCAGGCTTCCTTGTCCTTCACCATCTCCTGGAGCTTGCTCAAACTTGTCCACTGAGTTGGTGATGCCATCCAACTCTTAAACTCCTAAAGTTAGGGCTTTGCTTTGAATAGAACAAAACTCGAGTGGTTGCCCGGGGCATGTGGGTGCCGTGGTGAGGCTTCGCACAGGAGGGAGGGGTGAGCACCACAGGAGGGGCGAGGGGTCAGCCAGCCGCAGACACTTGCCCGATTAGCTGGAGAAACCATGAGACACACGGTCCTGTCTCACGAGAGCTTCACATACAGGACACGAATGAGGGCATTAAAAACTTCCCTGCTTGGCTGTCTACTTTGAAGCTGTTTAAAAATCGCACCTCTGTTACTTAATGCACACTGGATCACCTTAACAGTCCTGCCAACTTCCAGCATGTCCTGGCCCTTCCGCCCAGGGTCCTGCCTGGATTGTGATGGACCAGTGTTGGGGGCCCCAGAAGCCCCGCCCCCGCTCTTGGCTCCTCAGGGATTTGGGGCGTCAGTGAGCACATCATGTTCTGAGTACTGAACCCACTCGGCAGGCATCCTCCCGAGTGACCCAGAGTTGGAGGAACGTGACTTGCCCGTGGCCATCCTGTCAGGCCCTGTTTTGGAAGCCACCTCACAGGGTGCAGGGGTCTGGTCGGAGTGGGGCAGCTTGGGCTCCGCCACGCACCATCTGGACACTGAAACACTCTTAAAATACACTTCTGTGCAAAACATTTTCTAATAACTCAGGTTTCATGAAATGTCTTTAAATCTCACCTGGAATTTTATCCTAACCCTTGTCTCTTCTACCCACTACTCAGAATAAACTTTTCTGTTTTGGGGTAAAGAGAGTGTTTAATCCATGTTCAGTACCTAAAAGAATCCCCAAATCACAGCATTCAGGGGGCACAGTCTGTCAGGAACTTGGTTATCTGTGTCTGTCGGGGTGTGAAATCCTGAAGCCGTGGGGCGTTCTCCTGTGAGTGGGATTTTATTTCCCAAGGAGGCAAGTGAACTGCTTTCCGTCGTGTTTCATTTGTATGTTTCTGCCCTCAGATTACTGTATATGCAGACACTGCGGAGCGTCCTCCAGAAGCTGCCCCCGGGGCCGGCCCTGACGCCACTGCTCGAGCTAGACGGGGCTCTCAGGAACGCAGTGGCCCAGGATCTACACCTCGTCCGCGGTAACTAGTGCCAGGTTTATTTGTCCACACTGCACATCAGGGCAAATGTGAGCGCAGGGAGGGCAGACTCCACGCCGCCTGACGCCTGTCGGGTTTGGAGGTGAGGTGCAGGCGTGGAGTACATACTTGGCAAACACGCCTGAGGTGCTTCAGACCTAGCACATCCAGGCTGAATAAACAGCCTGTCGCCTTGGAGATCACATCCTGCTGTTCCCTGTCAGCCTCCCTGGGGCCTGGGCGGGCTCCTTCCTGGGACCAGGTCTGCTGTCCCATCAACTCCCGTCCCCGGTGCTCGGGCGGGACAGATGCGCACGCCCCTCGTCCCACTCCTACCCACGGCCCTGGCATCCTCCTGGGAAGGGCAGTCCCCCTTGTCTGCCCAGCACCTTTCCTGACTGTGATCGTCACTGTGGTCCCGGGAGGTGGCCGTGTGCATGGGGCACTGAGGGTTCTGTCCCTTCTCATGGTGGAGGGGGAGCGAGGTGGCTGACAGAGTGCCCCCTTGTATGTCTTCAGAAAGGGGAGCCAGAATCGTGGTGACTTTCTCAGCTCCCTCCTCAGGGAGACAGGAGTGTCTGACCGCAAGTCTGGTTGCTGACACGCCTGCTTCCAGGGTTCAGTCTGTTATTTGACGGCCACGTGTTGAGTCAGGCATGGACCAGCCCCAGGGGCTGAACAGTAACCCATCTGTCTGTCCTTCAGAAATCCTTATTTGTCTCGAGGCATCTGCCAACAACTCTAGATCCCGTGGGCCTGGCCAATCGAAACTGGAAAAGAACGTGCTTTTTAAGGTAAAACACAAAAATGAATCATAAATAAACAAGTTGGCTAGAACACTTGAGAAGCTCAGGCGGTATTTCCTTTTGCTCCTGCTTTGCTAGGAAAGTAAAGAGAACAGTAGGCAGTTTTTATACTTTTTTTTGGCCATATTGCGTGGTATGTGGAACTTCCCCAAGCAGGGATCGAACCCGTGTCCCTTACATTGGCAGGCTGATTCTTATCACTGGACCACCAGGGAAGTCCCAGTAGGCAATTTTTGAAGAACTTCGTTTTCTCTTGTAAGTCTGACTCCTGTTTGTGGCCTCTGGCTCAGAAACTGTCTCACGTTGCTCTCCCTGGCTCTCTTTGTCTTAGTTGCTGATGAATAAGAACGCCACTTCTCTCTGCCTCAGTGGATGCTTGTCTGAGAGGGGAGTTCCCCTGCGTCCCAGGGTGGCTGGCATCCAGGAGGCCCTTGGGGGACTGACCTGTGGTCCTCTCCCCTCCAGCGAGGCCAGTGCTTTACACAGGCTGCTTGAGTCCGTGCAGGACGCTGTGAGTATCCACCATCTGGCTTCTTCCAGGCCCTGGGGGCTCATTTCAGAGGCAGATTCACTGAAGATGTCCGTCCTGGAGCTGTGGTTTTATAAGGCAGCTGTTGTTGTTGAGCCCCAGCTGGCCCGGGACCCTGGCCCGTGTCTGGCCACCTTAGGAGGTTGTGTGCCCCACCTGGCCAAAATCTACTTGATGTTTAATGGGTCTCCCCAAGAGCACCCGGGGCTGTCCCCAGGCTCCTTGTCCTGCTCCATTTCCAGCTGCAGATGCCCCAGCGGGTGGAGCCATGTCTGAGGTCAGTTAGCTGGGGGCCGAGTTGTAGCTCTAGTGGCTGGAGGCCTTGGTGGGCACGTGCTCTCCCTACATTGTGCCCAGGACCCGGGGCTGCCTTCTCCCAGTGTAAGTGTGCGAAGCACGCAGCATTAGTGAAAAGGACCGTGCCAAGTCCAGCCCGCATTTTTCCTACTGAACACTGTCCTGTCTGCCCAGTCATGTCCAATTCTCTGTGACCCCATGAACTGTAGCCCGCCAGGCTCCTCTGTCCATAGGATTCTTCAGGTAAGAATACTGGTGTGAGCTGCCATTCCCTTCTCCAGGTTATCTTCCTGACCCAAGGATCAAACCTGCGTCTCCCACATTGCAGGCAAATTCTTTACCTTCTGAGCCACCAGGGAAGCCCTACTGAACACTGGAAGTTATTTTAACATTCATCCTTTTGTATCGATAGTTCATCTCACTTTCAGTATTTCCTGTTTCATGTAAACCATGAAATAAAATCAGTGAAAAGATGAAACCAGTGAACTGTAGTAGTAGCAGTAGTGTAGTTGCTCATTCGTGTCCAGCTTTTTGCGACCCCGTGGACTGTAGCCTGGAAGGCTCCTCTGTCCATGGGATTTTCCAGGTGAGAATACTGGAGTGGGTAGCCACCCCCTTCTCCAGCGGATCTTCCCGACCCAGGGACTGAAGCTGGGTCTCCTGCATTGCAGGCAGATGCTTTACCAGCTGAGCCACCAGGGGGGCGTGTCCGTCCAGTCAGTGTTTTCTGCACACCTGCTCTGTGAGTGATCGTGGGTGGAAGGGTGCAAGCCGGCCTGTCCGAGGAGGGCAGGGGGCAGCGTGGGTCCCTGGTGGGGAGTGTCCTCCAGATGATATATGAGCTCTTAAGGAGGCTGGGGACTGGAAGCGAGGAGAACTCGGGGAGAATGCTGGCCCGAGGGAAGCTGTGTGCAGGCGTGAAAACCATCACCTGTCAGCGCAGCTGTTTTTCTGCTCTCGGTCTGTAAACTCTTTCCCGACTGAAAGCCCAGCCACGTTTCTCTGTGTCTGGAAGGCCTATGTCATGGCGCCCGTGGGCTTCCCAGGTGGCTCAGTGGTAAGGAACGTGCCTGCCAATACAGGGGACTCAGAGTCCACCCCTGGGTCAGGGCGATCCCCTGGAGAAGGGAATGGCTACCCACTCCAGTGTTCTTACTGGAGAATTCTGTGGATGGAGGAGCCTGGCGGGCTACAGTCGATGGAGTCACAGAGTCAGACACGACTGAGCGCACCGCACACACGGAGACAGTAGAGCCAGGATCTGCTGGTGCCGAGAGCTCGTTATGTTTATATATTTATGTACACGCGACAGCCTTTCTGATGGGGCTTAGGCTACGTGTCACCCACGAACCCCAGAGTGCAGCAGGTGGTTCTGATGGTCCCACCGCACGCCTCTCTTGTAGCTGCGGGGCTCTGGGGGGCAGCTGGAACGTGGGTTGGGGCGGCTGTCTCCTCCAGGTCCCAGGGTCGCTCTGCTCCTTGTGGCCTCTTCACGTGGCCCCCAGCAGGGCGGCCACACTTCTCCTGTGGCAGCCTGGGATCCCAGGCAAGGGAGTGGGGTTGGGAGCCGACGTCCTCAGAAAGGGTGGGGCCGGAAGGGCCGTGTCCTTCTGCACTGCGCTGGTTAAACGTGGGTCCCAGCCCAGCCCCGACGAGCTGCAGGGAGCGCTTACAGGGCTGTGATGCCTGGAAGTCCGCTCCACTGGGATCGCTTGGGCAGCAAGCCAGTACAGACGGGCTTGAAGAGTAGGTGCTGTCTGGTTTAGGTCTGCCTGAGGCTGTATGTAGGGTTTGTTCAAGTGAACAGAGACACAAGTCCAGGACCAGGACTCGGTGGCCCCAACCCTACGCGGCGCAGTTCAGAGGGACGCACTGCCGAGTGATGACAGAGCACGCTGCCGCAGTTTAATCACGCTATGGACCTCAAGCCATGCTGTCTTTGCCTTTGCAGAATCATCTCTTGCAAGCAGTCATTACTGGGCAGACAGGCGTGCCAGTTTCAATACCAGAAGACGCCCCGGACTGGCAGGACCTGGGGACGCAGCTGCGGGAAGCGAGCCTGCCCTGCACTCGGCTCCTGCGGCTACCGAGAGCTGATGTCTCCGCTGCTGACTGTGTGGACCAGCTTTTTTCCGCAGTGTAAGTAGTAGCTGTTAGGTGGAAAACGTCTGCGGAATCAGAAACCAAAGGGATTCCCGTGGCTTCCTTCTATCTGAGCGATAAGTCAGCATGGCATATTCTACTTATAAATAAGATAGTCACTTAATTTTTTTTTCTGTTTTAAAAATATTAGCCTGTTTGATACTATTGGAAAGCATCTACAAAATATAAAATAGTAAACAGTCCCTTTTAACTGTCGGCTTGATCTCTCACAGGAAATCTAGAACCCTCATTTAGTCCAAGGAGCTTTATTTCTTTAAGAAAAAAAAAATATTTTTGGCAGCGTTGGGTCTTAGTTGAGGTGAGAGGGCTTAAAGTTGCCTTGGGGCACGTAGGATCTTAGCTCCCCGACCAGGGTTTAAACCCACATCCCCAGCACTGGAAGGCAGATTCTTAACCACTAGCCCACCAGGGTGGTTCCCAAGGCGCTTGTTCACGTCACCCAGGATGCCAGCGTGAACTGCCAGCAAGTGGCTTTCGAAGGAGCTGTGCTTCTCCACAAAATCTGCCTTGTTTTTATTTTATCAAACCATGGATTGTACATGCAATGAATTTCCATTCTCCTCAGCTGCTAGGATGTTCACAGTCAAATATGTCAAATAGGAAATGTGTTTTTCGTAACTCAGAACTCGCTTCATATCATATTCTTTATTTTAAAAATTTTTTTTCCATTTATTTTTATTAGTTGGAGGCTAATTACTTTACAATATTGTAGTGGTTTTTGTCATACATTGACATGAATCAGCCATGGATTTACACCCAGAGGAATTGGGTGGAAAGGGAGGTGGGAGGGGGGATCGGGATGGGGAATACATGTAAATCCATATCGTATCCTTTAATTTCCCACTTTCTCCTCTCTCAATTTGTTGTCTTATATTTTATGTATTTCCATAAATGTTTTTTCCTCATTTTGCAAATCAGGATGGGAATGTTCATAAATGAGAAAACGATTTCAAAGATTCTAATTTCCTATTTAACTGGACTGTCAGACATTTGTATATATTTGTGTTTAGATGAGTTTGTAATAAGACCTTCTGGAAAACCATTATTAAAATTTGTTTTTTTCTGGATTGGTTTTAATTGCAGGATGTTTCATACATTTGAGAAAGCACAATCAGTCCTGGAACATACACACTTCTGGAAAGCCTTCAGGGGGTTTATCAGGAAGACTTGTGAAGTGGCTCGACATGTGAATGAGCAGGCGGGTGTCCAGAACGGTTCACTGGGTAAGTCAGTGGTCTTGACTCCAGCCACGTGCGTGTCTTCCCCGTTCACCGTGGCAGCACAGCTTCCTCAGAGACGAGCAGTCCTGCTGAATGGAGGGGCTGAGAGCGGGGGCCTGCCCGCACAGGCACGCTGAGATTTCCTGCCTACTCTCGTCGGTGATGACAAGACTGACCACAGGCCCCAGCACAGGGACTGCTTCCACTCTAAACTGGCCCAGTTTGCCCCATAGATACTTCTCTGTGCAGACTCATCGTAACCCAGCCTCTGAAAGCCTAGATGCTCTGTGTGCGGTACCACCTCCCTTGGCCGTGTGCCTGCCAGAGGGAGACCTGTGGAAGTAGACTCCCCTCTCTCCTTACCAGTCTCAAAGCCAAAAGCCCCTTAAAATGTGAACTTTACAACTTGCCACTACAGAACTCACAGAGAATCATATGGGTCTCCGAGAGGCTTTGTTTTTAGAGAAGATGCTGGCAGGGAGACACCTCCATCTCTGCGTCCGCCTCTTCTGGGTTTAGAGCCGGTGGTGTGCTTCCACCTACCTTGGGAACCACGTGCCCCGGTTCCCATGTGTTACACAGGCTCTGGTGTCATAGGGTCATCAGCATCTCCTTGGAGCCCGTGTCTTAAACTTGGGGATTTGGGCCTGGAGATGACAGTTTCCTGTTCCTTTTCTGTGGCCGTGGCCGTCGAACACTCCTTCCTTCCTCCTCAAGCTGATCCGAGGGGCTGCTAGATTCCCCGTGTCTCTGGTTCTCCGTGTCAGACTCGTCAGCCATGAGAGGGGTCCCCGCGCTCACTGTTGTTACTCTCCAGGCTCTGCACCCCATGTAGCAGTGCTGGGTCCACGTGGCTCCTCCAGTGCGTTGGCCACGTTCTCCTGCGTTGGGTGCGCATCCTACGTGTTGGGTGTCCCTGATGGCTCAGTGTAAAGAATCTGCCTGCCAATGCAAGAGACACGGGTTCAACCCCTGGGTCGGGAAGATCCCCTGGAGAAGGAAATGGCAGCCCTCTTCAGTATTCTTGCCTGGGAAATCCCATGGACAAGAAGCCTGGCAGGCTACAGTCCATGGGCTCACACAGAGTCAGACATGACTTAGTGACTAAAACACAACCACCTACGTGTTAGCTTCCTGCTTCAACACCTTGTCCTCCTTTTCATCACATATTTCTGTGCAGTTCTACCATTTCCAGAAACACAGGCTACAAACATATTCACCATCAGCCAGAGGCCCAGGTTCAGAAGTCTCTAGTATTATAATCGCACACAATCCTCATGGCAACCTATGAGCTGGGTATAACTTCTTTTCAGAGCTCATGCAGATTACATTCCTGGAGGAGGTCACAAAACTACTAAGTGTCAAATTCAGGAATCCTCACTGTGGTGCCTGCAAGGTTGACCAGTCGCTTCCCTTTGGAGGGATCCTTGAAGGGGCTTAACTCTGCCTAAACATGCTCCATTGCAGAAATATAGCCTCCCCTGACAAAGAACTAAGTTTTGTTGGTTTCTGCTGTATGTTTTTTTCCTATTTCACTAATTTCTTTTTTTGTCTTTATTTCCTTCCTTCTAGTGAATTTAGTTTGATGTTCTTTTTCTAGGTTTTTGATTCTCAGATTTTCTTTTCTAATATGCTTTTAGGACTGTACATTTTTCCCTATGCAAAGTTCTGCATATATTCCACACGTGTTGATACATCATGTTTTACATCAGACCTGCAAATCTTTCTATATTGAACACACTCAGATTTTAAGGCTTTGGGTAGCAAATGTGTTGTCAGGCAGTTTTGATGGTCACATGGAAACATTATTTGATTAATAATGGTCAAGGGAAGTTAGTGGCTCTGGGCCCTTGCCTGCCTGTGTTGGATGAGTTACACACTCCTGATTCACATATATCTTTGCTACTCAAAGTGTGGTCCCTGGACCAGTGGCATCCGTATCATCTGAGAGCCCATCTCAGATGTACTGAATCAGAGTGTGACCTTCAGGACAACATAGTACTAGAACAAAGCCTATTGGTTAGCGTTCATCTTTAGGTTACACATTCCATATTTCCCCTTCCTCCAGTAGAAAACAAAACCAACTGCACATGATAAGAATTTGTTATTTATCTATAATAGAGATACTAACTAAGTGTTCCAATAACTGAATTCTGCTGTAAGTATTTAAAATGTGGAGTGCAGGCAGTTTTGCAGGCAGATGGAGTTGGGAGCAAACCCTGTTTGTGATACCACACTTTACTGAGTGAGTGAGTTATTGGCCTCCCATTGCAAGTAGTTTTCTCCTTGGTGGCATAGGAATTATATGGTCTACTTTACTGGGTCCTTATGAGGATTAAGCAAGCTAATGTACATAAAATGCCTAGTGCAGTACTTTTAAGCAGTTGCCATAGGTGTTAGTTCCTTTTCCTCCCCACAAAAATGACGTCAGAGTAATAATGTACCACAAACAGTGACCACGGAATTCACTTTAGTGGATTCTGTTTTTTCTTTGTTCAAAAAAGTTATTCCATACAGACTGGTTTTTCTGGTAGCATTTGCTTTAAAAAAAATCTGATATTAATCATACAAACCTGTGCTCTTTTTCGAGATGGTTACCATCATTTTCCCCCTGTTAAACACTTATGAAATTATATGTACATAAGCCAATCTATTGCAGTGGGAACTCAGTGAAGTATAAAAACTGCAAGTTTTATCTAATTTTGCCTCTGAAATAGGTGCTAGAGAGGTTAAATTACTTGCCTTAAATGAGAAGGATTTCTTTTTAAAAATTAGCTTTATTAAAATATAATTGCTATGTACAACAGATCACACATGTTTAGATATACTGTTTATTGGGTTCTGACATGTATGTGTGTGTATCCATGACGCTATCATCATAGTTAAGACAGAGTTGTGTCCACCTCTTCCCATTGTTAATTCCAGCCCTGCTCCTGTGCCCAGGCAACCACTGATCTGCCCTTCGTTGCCATCAACTAATTTTTTCCTTTTCTAGAAATGTATATAAATGGAATTATACAGTGTGTTCTCTGACATCTTTTACTTATTGTAATTAGTTAGAACTAATTAGCTTCAGCTTCATTCACGAGGTGGTACACGCACCCTTGACTGCTGAGTATGGATACATCACAGATTGTTTATTCATTCACATGACTTACAATTTGGGATGGTTCCCGCTTTTGGCTACTGAAAATAAAGTTTTTTATGGAAATATGCTTTTTTTTTTTTTTACCCTCTAGAAGTAAAATGGCTGGATTATATAGTATGTGCATGCCTAACTTTTTAAGAAACTGACAAACTGTTTTTCAAGGTTGTACATTTTGCAGTTTCCACCGGCACCCTTTCTCCCAGCACTTGGTGAGGTCGGTTTAGAGACGTTTAGCCATTCTAGTCCGTGTGGAATCTCTTTATGGATTTCATTCGCATTTATGACTAGGGATTTGAACCACTATCTTGTGTGCTTACATATCCTCCCTGCATCTTTAGTCATCAATTGTCTATTCAGATCATTTCCCCAGTTTTAAAATTAGGCTGTATGTTTCTTTATTGTTGAGTCTAAAATTTCCTTGTAAAAGTAAGATATAGAAGCCTTTTATCACATATGTCCTTTGCTAATATTTTCTCCTACTCTCAAGCCTGTCTTTCCACTTTTCTCAACAGTGTCATCCAGGAGCAAAAGGTTTAATTTTGATCAAGTTCTATTTATCTTTTTCTTTTTTCCCCAGTGGATCATGATTTTGGTTTTGTAGCTGAGAAGTTTTGCTAACTCTTGAGGTCACAAATGTTTTTGAGCTGTGTTTTCCTCTAGAAGGTTAATAGCTTTAGGTTTTAAACAAGGTCTTTGGTGCATTCTGAGTTAATTTTTACACATGATGTAGGTATATATCAGATTTTATTATTTTTTGCACATGGAGATCCAATTGCTCCAGAAAAATTTATTGTGACAATTCTCTCTCCACTGATTACATTTGCACTGTTGTTAAATACATTGTGCAAATTCATGGGTCTTTCTCTGTACTGTTTAATCTCTTCCTGTCATCTTTACATCAGTATTACCTGATCTTGATTATTATAGTTTAATGGTAAATCTTAAAGTCAAGTGGTGTAAGCTTTCCAACTTCTTTTTTTTTTTTTTAAGTTTTTAGCTATTCCAAGTCATTTGCAATTTCCAATCTGAATGCTTGTCAGATTCTCAAAATCCTGGTAGAATTTTTTAATTGGATTGAATTCAATCTATGGGTAAATTTAAGGGAGAATGACATTTTTCTGGTAATAATGAGTCTCCTGACTCATGAACATAGAGTATCTGTTTATTTGTGTCTACTTTATTTTCTCTTAACGACTTGTAGTTTTTCACTGTAGTTGTCTTAATATTTAATGCTTTTATGCTATTGAGATGATAATGAAATATATATATATGTATATATATATGTGTGTGTATATATATATATATATATATATATAATGTTAAGCCAACTTTGTATAAGTGGGATAAATCCCAACTGATAAGACGTAGATTTTTTTTTTATATTATTGAATTCAATGTACTAAAATTTTATTTAACACTTTACATTTGTGCTATGAGAGATGTTAGACTGTAGCTTTGCTTTCTTTTAATATCTTTATCTTACTGTGTTATCAGAGTGATCCTGGCCTCATGAGTTGAAAAATATTTTCCCCTTTTTAGTTTTTTGGGAGAGTTTGTGTATTTTTTCTCCCTTAAACATTTGGCAAATTTCACTAGTGAAGCCAGCTGGGCCTTTTATTTTCTTTGTAGGAAGATTTTAAACTACAAATTCAATTTATTTAATAGCTAAAGGCCATTCAGATGGTCTATTTCTTCTTGAATGAGCTTTGGTAGATTGTGTCTTTAAGGAATTTTTCTCTTTCATCTGAAGTGTCTAATTTAGTGTTACACGTTTTTCATGACACAGCTGACCCTTGAACATCACGGTTTGTACTGCACTGGTTCACTTGTGCATGGATGTTTTCCAGTAGAAAATGCTATAGTGCCGTCTGATCCGCAGTTGGTTGAATCTGCAGATATGGGGGATGTGATCTGGAGGGCTAACTACACATTATACATGGATTTTCCACCGTGTGGAGGGCTAGTACCCTGATTCCCATGTTCTCTGAATGTGAGAGAATCTGTATAATCTTCGTCTGTCTTACACTCCTTATCAGTAATGTATGCCTTTCTTTTTTTTGATCCCTCTGTCAGAGGTTTGTCAGTGTTACTGATCTCAAACAAGAAGCCTTTGGTTTTGTTCATTTTCTGCTCATTGTTTTTCTTCTTCCTATTTCCTCAGTTTCCACCTTGATCTTTATTATTTTCTTTTTTCTACTTACTGGAGGTTTAAATGACTCTTCATTTCTCTTTTCTTAACTTGGAAACTGAGACCTTTATTTTTTTCCAGTACAGGAACTTAATGGTATACATTTCTTCCTAAGCACATCTTCTTAGATGGCATCTCACAAATATTAGTGTACTGTACTTTCATTTTCATAAAACTTTAAAGTGCTTTTTAATTTACCTTTTCTTTTTGACCTGTAAGCTGTTTTCCAGGTATATTTATGTCATTGATTTCTTTTTTTTTAATTATGAAAGTATGATAACACATTTGTAGGAAACTTGGAAAGTACAGAACAAAGTTCCACTATATTACAATTATCTTTTAAGTAGATAAATTAAGATTTTAGTTGAAGTTTCAATATCAAACTCTCAGAAATTAATAGGCTGAATAGACAGAAAAGTAGAAGGATATTGTAGACCTGAAAAGCTCTATGAACCAATTCAACATAATTAAGATTTATACAATTTTCACACAACAGTAGGATATAAATTCTATTCAATTTCTCATAGACTATAAACTAGGAGCTCCTGGAACATATCCAGGGACATAAAACAAGGTGCAAATATTCATAGTCTAAAGGTATTGAGATCACATAGAGTCTATTCTCTTATCACTGTGGAATTATGTTAGAAATCTATATCAAACCTCAATAAAGTTAAAAAATTGAAAAAACACAGGTGATCGCAGAGAAAAATGCATTTAAATGAGAAATTATTATCAAAATGAGAAATTAATATCAAAGATTATGTCATTGATTTCTAATTTAGTTAATGAACATTCTTTGTATGACTATAATCTTGTTAAATTTATTGAGATTATTTTTATAGTCTAGAATATGCATGAGCTTATAAATCATCCCATTGCTTTTGTAAAGAATATGTACAATGTTGTTGCATGGGGCATTCTTTAAGCATCAGTTAGATCATGTTATCTAATAGTACTGTAGAAATCTGTATCTTGATGTTTGTCTTCCTCTTCTATCAACTAATTGGAGAGAGCTGTTGAAATTTCAAACTATAATTGTGGCTTTGTCTATTTATCCTGTATTTCATCAGTTTTTGTGTCATATGGTTTGAAGCTCTGTTATAATGTGCATAAGATTTAGAATTGTTATGTCTTCCTGATTAATTATTGCTTTTATGATTATGGAATAGCAATGATATTATCATTTGACATCTACTTCATCTGAAAGCTTCCTTTTGAAAATGTAGGGTGGTATGTCTTTTTCATCTTTTTACTTTTAAGTTTTTATGTCTTTTATTTCAAGTACATTTTGTACATGCAGCATATAACTAGTTCTAGTTTTGTCTGACCTGACAAATTTTGCCTTTTAATTGGGGTTTTTAAACTAAATAGTATAAACTGTTTTATGTGATGAGTCCTCTTCTCTACTAATTCTACTTGAATTCTGTCAATTCTGGGTAAGTTTTGATTAACTAATTTTTCTCCTAGTTATGGGTCCCATTTTCCTGCTTTTCTGCATGCCTTGTAATTTTTGATTGAATGCTAAATATTATGAATTTAACCTTGTTTTGTGCTTGTTATTTTGTTTTCCTTTTATCAAAAACATTGCTTGAAATAGTTTGATCCTTTAGGGTCTTGCTTTTAAGATTTGTTGGGCAGGGCTAGAGCAGTGCTTAGAGTGGTTGTAAATATCTCGTTACTGAGTCACGACCCCCTTTTTTTTTTTCATCTTATCGTCAGTGTCTAACAAATCATGGATCACTCCAGTCTGATTAATGGGTTCAAAACTTTTTCCTGGTCCTGTGTGATCACTGGCCAGTCCATCGCTCATTTATTCATGGGCTGTGCCGGGCCTTTGTTGCTTCGCGTGGGGGCTTCTCGCTGGTGTTGGTGCGTGGGCTTTTCATTGTGGTGGCCTCTCCTGTTGCAGAGCACGGGCTCAGTACTTGTGGCACAGTGGCTCCTTAGCATGTGGGATCTTCCCGGACTGGGGATCAAATCCGTGTCCCCTGCATTGGCAGGTGGATTCTTTTTTTAATTAATTTTTTATTGGAGGATAATTGCCTTACAATATTGTGTCGGTTTCTGCCATACATCAGCATGAGTCAGCCACAGTATACATACGTCCCCTCTCTCTGGAATCTCCCTCCCATCTCCGGCCCCATCCCACCCCTCGGCTGTCACAGAGCCCCGATTTGAGTTCCCTGAGTCATCCAGCAAATTCCCACTGGCTGTCTGTTTTACATGTGGTAGTGTATATGCTTCCCTGCTACGCTCTCCATTCCCCCACTCTGTCCTTCCCCCGCACCCCTGTGTCCACAAGTCTGGTATCTATGTCTGGAGGCAGATTCTTAACCACTGGACCACCAGGGAAGTCCCTGGCTACTTAATCTTTAATTTTGGTGTGGCTCTTCCCCTGGTCTCAGGGAGCCCCTTCGCATGCACGGATCAGTTTGTCCTCAGCTGTGTACCTGGATAGGGGAGACGGCAGAAAACTCGCTATTCAGCTTCCTTAGTTCTGCTCCCCTGTCCTGTCAATTCTCCTGTCTCTTGGACCCTAAACTTTCTCCCCTCAACTCAGGATGCCCACCAGGTCCCAGCTCTGTTCCTGCTGTCTGAGTCACAGCCTGGAAGGTCTCACCTTGTTTATTTTCTGTGCTTCATGGGTCTCTGTCCTACACTGCTTGATGGCCAATGGCACTTCATCTTGGCCGGACGTGGAAGGCAAATCAGAAGGACTTCTAATCCTCTTTTGTTATACTTTCAACCATGTTAACTGAGACGCTATAGCATTTTTCACTTGACTAGACTTGACTTTTTACCCAATTTGAAATTGATATATGAAATGCCTTTCTGTTCAGGTTTCTCTGAGGAATCTCCTTGTTATAAAGAAAACATGGACTGGAAAAGCATCAGTGATAATTATTTTGCATTTTTGAATAACTTGATCAAGACTCCAATAGCTTCCATGTCCAGGTGAGTTTTCAGAATTCAACTTCTAGGTCTTGACTTAACTATTATTTGTAATAAACAAAATGCTTTCTTTAAAACATGAGATCCTAAAAAAAACAAAAAACATGAGATCCTGATTTAACTGTTGATAAAGTCTTTCATATGTATTCAATTCTCAATAAATATTTGTGTCGTAGAATATATGACTCGTGTTTCCATGGATTTTGAAAGGAAACAAATTGTAGTAATAAGATTTCCTTTTGAGAATGTAATTTATTATAAAATCCCCCCACCACAAAATTTTTTTTCTTTGAAAAATAGCCTTATCTATTTACTTAGAGTTTACACTTGGGGTCAATGATTTAAGAGCCTGAAGTTCTGGAGACTTTTGGGAGAGAAGTGATCTTTGTGGACCAAATCTGCCAGATTATATATTGCTATGCTATTTCAGTGCATGTACTGAATGGACATTTTAATGTATAATTATGGATACCATGTATAGCTTAAAAGCACACTTTATTGTCTGTGGGGTGTGCTGGGACATGATGTGACGGAAGCTTTGCCTTAGAGTAGTAGTTCTCAAACTTGGAAATGGATAAAATTTATCTGTAAAGTTTGCTGAAAATATGAGCACTTGAACTTTGCCCCAGACATGCTAAATCTTGCTTAGGTGTGGGACTCAGATATCTGTAGATATGAAGAATTCTACAGGTGGCTCTGGTGTAGGTCAAAGCTTAAGAAACATCCCATATCATCTATCCATCACTGGGATCTGTCACTTCTGGGAAGCTTTTTTAAAATTAATTAATATTTTTTTATTGAAGGATAATTGCTTTACAGAATTTCGTTGTTTTCTGTCAAACCTCAACATGAATCAGCCACAGGTATACATATATCCCCTCCCTTTTGAACCTCCCTCCCATCTCCCTCCCCATCCCACCCCTCTAGAGAGTTGGTAAAGAGCCCCTGCTTGAGTTTCCTGAGCCAGACAGCAAATTGGCTATCTATTTTTATGGTAATGTAAGTTTCCATGTTCTATCAAGCATTTAGAGAAGAGCTAATGCCTATCCTTCTAAAACTCGAATTTCAAAAAATTGTAGAGGAAGGAACACTTCCAAACTCATTCTACGAGGCCACTATCATTCTGATACCAAAACCAGACAAAGACAAAACAAAAAAAGAAAACTACAGGCCAATATCACTGATGAACATATATGGAAGAACCCTGGGAAGCTTTTTAAGCTCAGCTATTAGTGGGCACAGGAGGAATAGCAGAAAACCGACCCTCTGGAGAATCAGCCCTTTGCTCACATGAGTTAGGTTTATAATACCTCCCTTTCCTGAAGGTCTTAACTACTTAATAACACAGAAAATCAGCAATGAAACCAGTCTATAGATGCTCCAAGAGCATGTTTTACTTTTATATTTGTAGATCCATAGCAGCTGGCACACAGTCTTTAATGATACTAGTAGTAGTGTTAGTTGCTCAGTTGTGTCTGACTGTGACCCCATGGACTGTAGCCCACGAGGCTTCTCTGTCTGTGAAATTCTGTAGGCAAGAATGCTGGAGTGGGTAACCATTCCCTTCTCCAGGGGATCTTTCTGACCCAGGGATTGAACCCAAGTCTCCTTCACTGCAGGCAGATTCTTTACTATCTGAGTCACCACGGGAGCCCATCTTTTGTGACAGGTGCTAGGTACATAGGTGTTGACTTAATGAATGAATGAAGAAGAATGGACACTAAGTACAATTAATATTAAGACAGTTGAGCTTGAAATGGGAAAACGCAGCCCATACCTGGTTCCTGCTGTATAATAGTTTGAATTTGCTAACTTAAAAAATCCTGAAATGTTTCTTTCCTCGTGAAATGGAAATAATGATGTTTACTTCAAAGGGCTGTTGTAGGAATGAACTAAGATGATAGTCGAGAAAGTGCTTTATAAACTGTAAGGCGATATAAATGTGGGAGGCAGCATCATTACTAGTAGTAGCAGTTCTGATTCGGTTCTCAGTCATCTGACTATTACTGCTCCCTGACCTCCAGTTGTTAATGAAAAACAAGATCGTTCTGCATTCTTCTGTACCAATAGCACAATCTCCTGCAGTTGTGGATATATTTCTCTGCACGGCTGGATTTGAGTAAGCTTTATCTCAAATTCTTCATAGTCGAGCTTTATTTTTCCTAATGGAATTTTCCCCAGGAAATGTTTTCAATGTTCCATGATTCAAACTAGCAGCTCTCTGTTCTACAAATAATAGCAAACTAAACTGAGCCTATAGTTTTTCTGCTTTCAGATCTCAGCTCTGGGAGAGGAAAACTATTCCTGCATCTCATCCATCCTATCCCTATTCTATGTCAGGCTGGGTTACACACAGGATTATAGAATTAAGGAAGTTCAGAAAGTAATTCACCCTTAAAGGCCAGTACAGGTCAAAATCCTGTACCCACAGTTCTGAAATCTTAAAAAGTCTGAAAATTGAAGCTTTTCTTATGGTTGGCAGCACAACTCATTCTGCAGACTTAAAATTTTTTTTTTTTAACTTTAAAAAAATATTGGCTGTGGGGACTCTTCGCTGTGGCATTAAGGCTTTTCTCTGGTTGTGGTGCATGGGCTTACTTGCCCTGAAGCATATAGGATCTTAGCTCCCTGACTAGGGATCAAACCCATGTCCCCTGCAGTGGAAGTACGAAGTTGTAACCACTGGACTACTGGGGAAGTCCCAGACTTAAGTGTTAAGGGTCTGCTGCCCACACACGCTGAGCCTGTTCTGAAGTTTCCCTGCAGAAGTATTAGTGGGTTGATAGAGGGCTGCCTGGTGCCCATGGGTGGAGGGGCTGTAAATGCATGTGTGGTAGACGCAGGCACAAGTTTCCTTTCGAGAGTCCAAAACACACAGGCCCCAAGGGTTTCAAAAGCGGGTTTGTTGTTCCTGAGTCTGAGAAGTTAGTAACTTCTTTGTGAGGACTCACATTGTAAGTGTAGATTTGTCATAATTGCTGAGCTGCTCCTTTGAGACCTCTTTGTGTTTTAAAAATAAACTCCTGGAGGAGAGGTTTATTTTGTACCATGTAAAACAATAAGTTTCTAATAGTCAGGAGTACAGCATGTTTACAGAGCACTGTGATTGCTTTTTAGAATGAGAAATCTCAACACTTGTCCTTAGATCATACAGGGCCAAACTGTCTTACCATTTGGACAACCTCTATCACTAGGACACTCTGAGACATAATAAGGAATCGAATGCTAAGTTTCTTCTAGAATAAATAGCAGGTGTTAAGGATCATGCACATCAACTCATTGAGTAAAATAACTTTAAAATGCATTGTTTTTAGTGCAAGAAGCAGAATTTAAGCTAAAAGTATGCAACTGCATTGTATATTTCAAAAACATTTTCAGATGTTCACATTAATTTAATCTCTGTGGGAAAATATATTGCTTAGTAAATATTTCACTTATGTTTTCCTGTAAACAAGACTGCATATTATCTAAAAATTTGATAAGTTGCATTTTTCTTAAAGGTATTTTTTTCTGATACTGAATCTGTTCTGTTAATATTGTAGGGTCTTAAATTATACAAAGGAACTTCTAGTGATGGAAAAGAAGCTGCAGACCATTAAAGATGAGCAAATAAACTTCCTTTTGTCTTTTATGGAATTTTTGGAGAAATTATTATTGCCTAATCCATTCAACTTATCCAGTATTCTCAAATTCTATAACCTCCCATCTGTCCCTGAGATGACTCTAAATACAAGTCATTTGTGGACAAATCATTCAGCAAGTTTAGAGAGAGATATACCTGGCATGGATACTCAGAAACTTCTGGAAGTCAGCAAAGAGATGAATGGAAAAGTACAAACCCATGAAAGTTTCTGGATAAGGAAGGAATCAATAAATATCTTGAGATTTGTGGAATTAATACTTCTGGGGATGAATCCCAAGTTTCTGGCATTGTGGATGCATGGTGCTTCAAAAGGAAAGAGAGCTGAACTGGGAATCTTGCCTACCCTTGTAAATTTTTCTGATTCAGAAAGCAAGATGATTCACAGGAAAAGCTTTAACTTTTCCCAGTTGTTTCATTTAGATTGGTCTGAATCACCAGCCATGAAGATGGATTTTGTTCATGTAATTGAAGTGATAATAAATAGTCTCTATGAGTTTGGATTTCTGAGGCAGGAACAAGTCTCAGAAGCTGTGGGCACAGTCTATGCTATGAGGAATGCATCCAATCTTTTCTTAGCCCTTTCTGAACCTCAAAAACAAGACATTGAGAAAATTTTGACTAGTGTATATCTACAAGTCTTCCAGGACAAAGATTCAGCTTTACTTCTGCAGATTTATTCTTCATTTCACCAGTATATGTATAAATTCTTGAGCATTCAGAGCAAAGAGTCTTTGCTTTCTTTCCTTATGCAAATCTCAAAACACATTTTGGATATCCTAAAGCAATTTAATTTCCAAAACATCAGCAAAGCATTTTCATTTTTATATGAGACAACAGGGGTCCTTGGGAGGATATCTGAAGTATCTTACTGTCAACAATTGCTTTCAATTTTTAAATTTTTGGAGCTTAAAGCCCAATCCCTGATGTCCACAGAGGGCCCTGCGATGGAAATCATCCATGCTACTTTGAGAGGCCTCAAGCAGCTCTTCTTGGTGGATGACGGTTTTCGGAATTCTGTATTTCAGTATGTGAGTCAACTCTTCAGTGGCTCAGCAGAGGCCCTGCTGGGCGATGAGTGCTTTGTTCTGGATAATAAAAGCATTTCTTCTGCAAATTATTCACCAGATGAGGGGTCTCCATTTATCCTCCCATGGGCACAAATCCTTTCAAACTTCTCAGCAGATGGCGGTGAGTTCCATGAGTTTACAGCTCTTCATTGCACCACTTTGTGGCTTCACATGTGGACTGAGGTCTGTGGACACATAGCTCAGATATTTGAGCTGGACACGAATGTTTTCACTCTTCTTCGTGGTGGTCTCAATCAGCTTTTGGATGAACTGGAAAGTGATGAAAAAATTCCTAAAATCTGTCAGGAAATACTTCCCAACCATTATCCTGCTAAACTCATCTTAAATTTGTTTAAGAATGTAACTCAAAGTGATGGCTTTCAGGATTGGAATGATTTCCTGAATCTCAGGGATCTCTGGGTAGCACTAGGTGATGGATTAGTTCGAGTAAAGTTGCTTAACCTGGACCAAATAGAGAAATCCCTTTTCACCATGGAAACTACCCTGAGTCAGCTGAAGTCACTTCCATTAGACACCAACGCAAGCAGAGAGTTTTTATATTCTCTGCTCAACATTTTTATTGAGTTGAGCAATACCTCAGCATCTACAGATAGAAGTGTACATTTGATGAATAACTTTCTGTTAAGAAACCTCACAAATTATGAAGTAAAGCTTGCAAGTGTCATCACCGACCTAAGAGACACAGTATTATTTCTTAAAAATGTGTCCCACGACCAAGATTTATTGTCCTGTGCTGACATTTTCCAAAATGTCACTGAGTTTATTTTGGAAGATGATTTATTGTATGAAAATTCTTCCCAGAGGGCATTACACATTCTGGCCATGTTGAATTCCACATTTTCCTCTGTGGACACAGTTAGCAGGCTGAAAGGCTGTGTCATGTGGGTCAGCACTGTGAACAACCTGTGTGCTATGTATAACTCCAGTTTTTCACAAGGCCATCTTCATGGTGTTCTGAGGAGTCTCAGAGATGTGAAAGACAAACTGAACTCTACTTTGAAGCTCGTTACTTGGATGTTGAATATAATGATGGAGCCTTGCTCATTGAATACGTCAAACATAAACTGTGTGAATGTTTACTTAAAAAATGTGACTGACTTTCTGAATGTTCTACTCACTACAGTCTTTGGAAAAGAAAAGGTATCAAATTTTGAGATTTTATTAACTCTTTTAAATGATTCCACAAACCAAGTAAGGATGATTATCAACAACTTCTCGAGAGACTTTGATTTTGCACCTCAATCTAACTGGACACGTTTTACTGAATTAATTCTAAAACCCATAGAAAGGTCAGATGAAATGCCTCTTCAATTTCAAAATATTTGGCTGCATTTAGTAGCTCTGGGGAAGGAAATTCAAAATCTTGTGAAAGATATTTCCCCTAACATCCTGGAAAATAGCACCTTTTATAAAGCTGAAAAAATTTTAAGCATAATTGCTACCAGTCCAAAGGAAAAGGATATACACAGATTAGGCAATTCATTTTACCAGTTAGCTAGTTACCTTGCCTTCAATTTATCTCATGATCTCCAAAATTCACCCAAAATAATTTCTCATGAAGTAATGAAAGTTGTGGGTCTCAGTATTCAACTCATGAGGGATGTATTCAACTCTCTAACACCCTCTGCTTACCACAATATTCCACAAGAGCCAGGTGACTTTCAAGTGTTGAAGAAGATGACTTCTCTCCTGCGCAGTGTCAAGAAAACAGACATATACCTGCTAGTAGATCAGCTTGAACGCATTAGTGAAAGCACGATGGATTTCTTCAAGAACATCAGCAGGTTAGGTGCTAGTGATTTGGGGATCGGCTTCTTTGTTGACTTAATGGAAAAGTTTGTCAACAGCTCACATTCTTGGAGTATTAGCCATCTGCTGAGGCTCTCACGTCTGTTTCCTAAAAAGGATGCTGATGCCGTGGTGGATGCGTACTACATGCTCCCTCATGCCATGAGGTTCCTGAGGGGCATGGGTGACAAAAACATCACAGAGGCCCTCAAGGATGTCTATAACTTCACACTCCTCCATGGCATACACTTTTCAGATGTCACCAAGGAAGACTTCACTGTTGTGATAAAAACTTTTATGGACACAATTGAATTAGTATCAGCTCAACCGGGCATCCTTTCGGAGACATTAACTTGTCTTCCTGTGTTTCGGTGCTGGAATCATACAACTTCTGGGTTTCAGCAGAACCCAAGATCAGACGCCTGTAATGCCCATGAGCTCACATCTTCCTTTTATAGCAAAGTAGCTAGTATCCTTGACCACCTCCACCTGTCTCCCCATGGTGATGATTCACAATGTTTGAATGAAAGCTCACAGATGGAAATAACTAGGAAAGTAGTCTGTGTAATTCATGAACTAATGGACTGGAGTTCCATTCTTCTAGAGCTATCTGAAGTTTTCCATGTTAAAACCTCACTTGTGAAATCTGTGCAAGAATTTTGGCATAAGGTGTTACCATTTGTCCCGCTTTCTGGAAATCAGAGTAGTGGCAGCATCCCTGAGCTCTGTCCTGGTCATCTCATAAAGCAAGTCACTTTGCCAATCATAGAAAAATTAAAAAACTTCAACTTTACAAAAGTCACATCAGATGAAAACCTTCTTGAAAAACTAGTTAGTTTAAACAAGATTCTTAATGTGGATGAAGGAGCAGGAACATCTGTTTGGTATAATATTTCCTTTCATTTGAAAAGGATAATAGACTTTCTTTCTAGGAAGGAGAACTTGGTAAACAGCACCAATTCTCTAGTCTCTCCGTTCATGACACTGCTGAATTCAAACCTCACAGGCAGTAGTTTAGAAGCATTATCATGGTTTATTAAGAAAAGCGAAGCAGCTGACAACTTGGAAAAACAATGGCTTGAGTTTGAACAAATTATGAAAGACCTAACCCATAATTTTAGTATCAGACCCCTATATTCTGAAATTGACAAAGTGATGCAAAGGACTAATTCAGTGGCTCTTCAAAACATACCCTTGCCACTTGCCCACTTTTTGGAAAGCCTGAATTTATCATCATTGAAGACATTAGAAATTATTGAAGAATTTTTACGGGTCATAAAGAACTGGTTTCATAAATTTGCACATGAAGATTACTCCAAAATGATACAAACATTATTTCTTCTTTTGGCTAATGAGAGTTCAACTGATGATATCGCTTTGGTGACTAAAGACGTTGCTACCTTTTTGGGTTATCTCAAAAATGTTTCTAGAGAAGGTAATTTTGATGTTGCCCTTCTTACTCGTCAGCTAAGTCAAGAACAGCTAACTAATTTCTCAGTTGTTCAGCTGCTTTTTGAAAGCTTCCTAATTAATTCAATCAATAACTTAGCTGAGCATTCTCAAGGAGCAGCCTTGAATTTAAGTGATACTGACCTTCAAATAATGAATCTCATTAACCTCGTCTTGAACCACACACAGTCAGAAAATGGTGAGAGAATCATTCTCCCTCCAAGAAGCAGAGTGGGTTTCATGGAACAGCTTTTGAAAACATTCTTTTTACTAAAGGAAAATTCTGGGAACAAAATATTTCTTCTGCTAAAAGACATCCACAAAGATCTCTTTGCAGAGATGAGGTGAGTTTATTTTTGCTTGTAGAGTACCTGTAGTTGTATATTACAATTAAGTTTATTTCCTGGAACTTCTGAGAAACCTTGGAATTATCTTTGAAGTGAATTTTGTCTTAATGAACATTTTGTAAAAACCAAGGTAAAGTAACTTTAATGATTGTCATATAACTAATAAACCTGTATACAAATGTATATATTATAGTATTATGTTTTATTATATTTTGGATTATGAAAATAGTTGTTAAATTATATTTTATATGGAACTGAAAAATTATTATATACATATATGGATATATGTGTGTATGTATGTGTGTGTGTGCATGCTAAGTCGTGTCTGAATCTTTGTGACCCTATGGACCATAGCCCACCTGACTCCTCTGTCCATGGGATTCTCTAGGCATGCCCTCCTCCAGGGGATCTTCCCCACCCAGGGATTGAACCCACCTCCCTTACGCCTTCTGCATTGGCAGGCAGATTCTTTACCACTAGCACCACATGGGAAGCCCAGATGGATATATAACATGGTCATATTTTGAATTAAGGCATGAACTGTCTAATCACAAATGGAGGGCTTAAATATTTTCATTCTAATAAGTTTACTATGATGTTTATATTTGGAATTGATAAAACTCCATTTTAAAACTGATAGTCACATTATATTTTTTCATATATTATTTTTTCATCCACTTTGAAGCTTGCCAATGAAAAGACTGGAGGGAAATTCTCATTTATTCTAGGATGTCTGTATCAGTAAGGTGTCAACCTCAGAAGCAGAACCAGAACAAAGATTTCATACCAGGACTGGCTTCTGCAGTTTTGGGGTTGGCTCAGTGAGCCTAGAGTCAGCAGGGCAGGCCATTAGGAAACAAGGCAGAGTTCCACAGACAGGAGCTGCAAGTTCCTGTCCACGGTGGCCAGTGAGGGGGTGATGGGATGTGTCCAGTCCAGGAGATGTCCAACTACCCACCCATTAGAGCCCAGGAGGTCCTAACTGTCTCGAAGACCCTCCGTCTATGAAGTCAGCCTTTCTAGGTCAACATGCCTTTGCACTGACTTAGAGCTGGGTGACTGGGTCTTTAGTCACATCTGACAAATCTCCCTAAGCAGCACCTGCATTAGTGTTTACAATGATACAATGTGGGCATCCTGACTCTCATAAGTGGACTACCTGTGAAGCCCAGCAAACCAGAAATACACCAGAGAGGGCTCTGGGGCTGTCATGTGGCCCAGCTAGTCGCCAGCAAGCCAAGCAGCTTGCCAGGACTTGGGGTATTCAGAAGGATGTTCCCTCCTACCCCGAGAGTCCCATTTGATCATTTCACGTTCCTTTCCTTTCTGAAGGCAAAAGTGCATGGCTCTTTAAGTTGTTAGGTTTGAGGATTTGCAATGGATTGATACATAAAATCCACCCACTCTTTTCATTATTTGGCAACAAAATATTAATTTTCATCTGGAATGTATTGTAGCATTTCAATTTTTCAGTATTATCCTCCTATAATGCTATTATAAAGCCCCCAAGAAATCACTACCCTTCACAGTTGAACAACCTCATGAGCCCAGTTATACTTGGATTTTTTCAATAAATATGTGCTACAGTGCTGCCCGATCCACGGTTGGGTGAATCCGTGAGTGGGGAATGGCAGACACAGTTTTTAATCTATATGGAGGGTTAGTGCCCATAAGCTTTGGATTGTTAAGGGTCCATTGTGTAAGTTTTCACTCTTTTCATTACTAACCATGAAATAAAAATATATATTTGCAGTTTTGTCCTAAAGGATAAAATTCTAGAAAATTTGAAACTCGATCATTTTCTCACCTCCATGAAAGAAGATAGACTGGTGAACGCTCTTTCAACTTTAAAGGAGACTGTGTATCATCTAATAAAGAACTCATTTATGTTAGATGATGGAGAATTATATTTTGATAATCATCAAGGACTGCAGCTCCTGGGAGATTTATTCCACACTCTTCTAAGGGAAACATCAATGAAAAAGGAGACTGAAAATAATCTGGAGTTTCTTATGGTGCTGAATCAGTTGCTTTCCCATATGAACAGTTCTGAGGACCTTTTCAAACTCAATCAAGATCTCCAGTCAGCTCTTCACCTCGTGAGAGAAACTTCCATGGTGATAGCACGTTTCATGGACACTCTTTTAAGCTCTCCTGTTAAGGACCTCCGTGTGCTGTACCCTTCCCTCCAGGAAGTTATACTTGCAAATCTAACCAATTTGCTTTCCTTTGTAAACAATTCATTCCCCCTAAGAAACAGAGAAACATTAGAAATTACCAGGCACTTACTGGATGTTATCTCAGGAGCATATGGGGAGAACTGTGCCCTTGACCCACTCTTGGAGATGTCTGACACTCTGACCATGCTGGCCGATGATGGTGTAGAGATGAGACGTCTTGCCACATCAGTCACCTCCACTGTGGAATTTCTTAAGTTAGCCAAGAAAATTGCAAGAAAGGTGGCCACCGTATTTCAAACTCATCTCATTTCCACTGCCAATGACACCATGAAATTCTTTGACACTCTTTATTTTCTTTTGCGACAAAGTGTTCGAAATGTTGTCAATGAAATGATTACTTTGAAAAAAGCAGATCATTTAATATTTGAAAATATAGATGACTTGTTGATGCCATTTCTTGACTTGGCCTTTGGGATGATTGGAGTTAAGCCTAATATTTCCCAAGACTTATATATCCTCAATATGTCATCTGGCACATTCACATACATGAACCAGTCCAAAGAGCTTTATGATATTAGGGAAGAAATAGCTGACTTTTTAACTTCTGTGAAAATCAATTTGGGAGACGTGGAACGTCTCCTGGCAGCATTTAAAAATGGGGCCCAAATATTTTCTGTGGATTCTGTCAGTTTATGGGAAGAAATCCTGGATTACTTAGCTCCTATAAATAACATCACCAGTCACATCGACTTCTTGTATTCTAACCCAATTTCCACTCATAATTTCCCTCAAGATACAAAATGGGGAAGAACTCGTGAAGTGGTCCTGTTTCTGTGTGAAATCCTGTCACAAAACAGGACAGAACTAGGGAGTTACTTGAGAATGGTGATCAACCTTATCTCAGTCGCACTTTGGAATGACACAGGGAAGGACCACAGGGATGTTTTTAATCTGTTGCTGACATTGGCTCCGCATCCAGATGACCTTTTGAAAATCATCACGACAGTGGGAGAGGCCTCCCGTGAAGCTCCACTTTTTAACACCTCTTGGATTCGGAATGTGACTGAGCAACAACCCCACGAAGCCATCCAGACCCTGCTGAGTAAAATAGCTCTCATGAAGAAAGAGCTTCTCCTCAATAGCTCTCAGTGGATGTACTCCGTGAGCACTTTGCTTCAGCCCTTTTTTGAAATTTTTATTCATGCAACCACTGGGACACGTGAGAAGACCCAGAAAGAGCTGGTTGACGGTCCTGATATCCTCAAACCATTATCGCGTTTTGAGGAATACCGGAAGGCATTAATTGCATTGGTTGAATACTGGCAGAGGGTCTCGCTGATTGATCAAAGGTAATGAAACACCCAATTTGATTCATTCTGCCTCCCTGCCCCGCCCCTACACGGTAACTATAAGCAGGCAGGAATTGCACTGACCCAGGGTAAGTATAAGTACGTTCTTATAAATAAGGAAATTTTTAAACAGACTTTTTATATTTGAACCCAAATTCCACTCATAATTTCCCTCATGATACAAAGGGAAAGAACTCATGATCCTGTTTTTGCGAGAAATCCTGTCACGAAACAGCACAAAACTAGGGGGTTACTTGAGAAAGGTGAGCAGCCTCATCTCAGTCACGCTTTGGAATAACATAGGGAAGAACCACAGGGATGTGGCCTTTGATTTCAGCCTTCCTCTCCCTCTGAGACTGACTTCCACAGGAATGATTCAAGCCCAGTCCCTGCTCGCTATTTGACTAGTCAGCACTTAAATATGATCTGAATTTATTCTGAATTTTTCCATTCATTTTTTTCCAAAAAGTAAAAACCTCTCATTCTATGCACACATCCCAAGACTAGGTACGGAACTGGTGTTTCTGTTCCCCTGCTCTGGCAGCCAAGGGTCCTGCTACTTGATATGGAAATAGAAATTTGGGGCCACTCAAGTCACATAGAAGTCTGCACTTTCAGTGGTAACTGCCCACTGGACAAGGCCAGATTTCACCCTGCCTCAGATTCCATCTAAGACCATGTGGTTGACCCACATCCAATGCACCAGCTACCCACCCTGAATGGTGGGTCAGGGGAATGGCAGGTTCCTGGAAGGTCCAGTGCTATTGGCCGTCATGATCTGGAGGCTGTCTGCTGTCCAGGGATGTGGGTGAGAGCAGCTCCGCCCTGGCCCATCCTCTCCGTGTGTCACACACGGCTCCAGTGGTCTGTGGGCTCCACGGTACCGATGCTTCTGTGAGTCCAAAGGGAGATGGAAAGTGAACCCTCACTTACCTGCCAGACAGCCTGACCTGCTCTCCTCTAGTTCTGCTGCCACAGGGCTGCACCTTGAATCCACTCCTTTTTAAAAAGTTGGAAGGGTCTACTTGGATAGTGAAGCAGGTGTTTATTGGCACGAAGAACTGTTAATATCAGTGCCTTGGAATTTGAATGCTGGCTTTCAGACCCTCACTGTTTCTGATCCTAAACTCTGTCTGACTTGACACTTGTATCCGAATTTTTATTTGAGCTGGAGGTGATTCCGGCTACCCCTGCTCCCCTCCAGTCCTGGCTTTCACCCCGAAGTGTCCAGTCCTTCATGGACGTACTTTACACCGTGGCCCCAAGACTGGAAACTAGGGGGCTGTGATCTGGCTGGGTGTGGTCGCCACCCTCATTTTAAATTCCCAAGGCACGGTGCCCAGTTTCATTCCACTTTAGCGATTCCTTCTTTCCACTATTTTTTTCCTGTCTTTTTGTTGTTGTTCAGTTGTGTCCAACTCATTGTGACCCCATGGACTGCAGCACGCCAGGCTTCCCTGTCCTTCACCATCTCCTGAAGCTTGTGCAAACTCACGTCCATTGAGTTGGTGATGCCATATCCAGTCTTTACTCTTCTTTGATCACTGCCTTCTTGATGAGGAAGATACAAAAAGTCTAAGACAGAAAACCCCACTGGTAGGGAGGGAATGCCAGGATTGTTGGCAACAAAATGATGCTCTGAATGAAAGCAGGAGACCTGTTGTCTCCTCGGCTGTGTCCTCTGATGTCTGCGGAATGAGTGGCCCAGCAGTGGGATGGTTCTTTCATGAGTGTCACACGTGCACTCACTCAGAGAAGCTGGTCTTCACCTCTAATATTCCTGTCTGTTTCCCCCAAGTGTCTTGGATGTCTGTCGGGCTTTTCTGCAGTCCCCGGAGCCCACGGATGCCGTGGCGACCCTGTGGAGAATGGAGACACTGGCCCAGCGCGTGCTCGTCCTCCTTGCAGGTGAGCTGCTCTCCGGAGAAGGGCTGATTGGTCCCCACCCATTTCCAGAGCTCAGCTGACCACAAGATGGTTGGATGCCCTTGAGCTACTCTTGGGCTCAGCTGCAGCCTTCTTGCCCGGTTCCCTAGACCCTGAGGACCCTCTCTCCCCCTGCCCCCAGTACTGTGACCTCCAGCCAAGGGGAACATCCCCCTCCCTGCTTCAAGCTCTGCCTGCAGGCTATGCCTCTGCTGGTGGAATGTGCGTCCCTGTGTCTGTGGCCTGGACTTCGGCCACGCCCTGTGGCTGGAGCCAAGGCATCTCCTCCAGGAGAAATGCCTGCATCCCCTTTGCTGGTGGTGACCTTGGGTTGACCTTTATCTCATGTGGTATTAAGGCTGCTATTTCTTAACTCCCCCTCCTCTGCCTGCGCCAATGTTCCTTGAAGGCAGCAACCGTGTCTCCATCTCCTGTGTGTCCCCAGTGCCTGGCATGGAAGATCACTCTACTGACGGGTGCTGGGTGGTCCATGCAGTGACTCGACTCTAGAACACTTTCTCTAAAGTCCTGGTGCTGAGTGCTTGTCTTCAAGTTTGTTGGAACCTCTCCTGCATTTGTTTGCTACTTTACTGAGAACAGGATCTTTTACTCATTCAGTTCTGTCTCCATGATATCAGCATAGAGTCTGTGACAGTGAGTCATTGCTACTTACATTGTAAATGAATTCATTCATCTAAGATCCTTCTTACCAAATCCATTACCACTGATTTCAGTGACATTTTCCTGGCATACCATTGTGGAAGGAAAGTACCACGAGCTGCCTCATAGGGCTCCTGGGTGATTTTTAGATCTCTTTCCAAGATGTGAACACTGGCCTCAGAGCACTTTTGGACCATAGACTGCACAATGCTCCTGGAGTGTATTTCACCCACGTGTGCATGTTGCTGCTTTTTCACGCATAGGCTCCTAAATGAGGCTGCACCCAGACCTCTTTATTTTTATTATTTTATTATTTTATTATTATTATTATTTTTTAGTTCTACCACTTTATTGCTACCAACCTATTTCCCTCCACCCTCGTGCACACATGCTCAGTCATGTAATCCCATGGACTTCAGCCTGCCAGACTCCTCTGTCCATGGACTTTTCCAGGCAAGAATACTGGAGTGGGTTGCCATTTCCTTCTCCACTCTTTTTTTTTTTTAATTAAAAGAATGTTTTTGTTGGCCACATTCCCTTGTGGCTCAAATGGTAAAGAATCTGCCTGCAATGCAGGAGACCTGGGTTCAATCCCAGGTCTGGGTTGGGAAGATCCCCTGGAGAAGGGAATGGCTACCCACTCCAGTGTTCTTGCCTGGAGAATTCCATGGACAGAGGAGTCTGGCAGGATACGGTCCATGGGGTCACAAAGATTCAGACATGACTGAACGACTAACACTTTCACACTTTCTGCAGCATGTGGAATCTTAGTTCTCTGACCAGGGATGGAACCTGTGCCCCTGCATTGGGAGCAGAGTCTCAACCACTGGGTCACCAGGGAAGTCTTTGCACATGGCTCTCTTGGTGCAGTCGGGCCTAAAGTCCTTGACAGCAAAGGTGGCAGGGATGCTGGGGTGATGGGTGTGAGCCCAGATGACGACACGGGGAAGCTAAGGTGGGCTGATCAGGAGAAGAGAGGAGCTGGGGTCAGTGGAGCAGGCCATGAGCCCTGGTTCCTGCGTGGATCCTGCCAGGCCAGCTCTGCCCCCTCCCTGTCATCCCAGGTGGACCCGACACCTTGTCTCACGCTGCTGCCGCCTCCTGACTTACTCTCTGATGACTGTTATTACTTAGATGATTATTCTCAGGTGAGGTGTCATGTCCTCTGGGAAGCTCTTCCCCTGCCTGGGTTTGGTGGCCCTGTTTCAGGCCCTTTAGCTGTGCCCTCTGGGCAGTGAGCCCATGGGCCCCTTGTGATTGCATCTGCCTGTGATTAGCATCCACTCAGCACATGGGGACTGGAGCCCGGGTGGGGGCTGCTGGCAGAGGCTTGGTGAATGAACGCGTGAGCACATGTCAGCGGCCCTCTTGGGCTCAAGTCTCTGTCCCCTGGGACTCCTGCATGAGCGTGGTTGTGAATTTTGCGCTGACATCCTGGAGGGAACATGTGGCCATGGCAGGCAGTGCCCTCCCTGAGTGGCTGTGTAGGACTGGAGGACACTGTGCTGAGGTTGCTCGGGGCTCAGTGCAGGCGTGGCCACACCTGCCACAGACAGAGTGATCTAGGGACCGGGGGGGCGGGGGCACTAAGGGTGTGGGCAGCGGAGGCTGGGGCTTTGGGAGGAGAGGCTCGTTTGGGGCAGGACCCAGCACGTCAAGTCTTAGTTGCTCAGTTGTGTCCGACTCTGCAACCCCCTGGACACAGCCCACTAGGCTCCTCTGTCCATGTGATTCTCCGGGCAAGAATATTCTGGTGGGTTGCCATTTCCTCCTCCAGGGGATCTTCCCGACCCAGGCATCCAATCCGGGTCTCCTGCATTGTAGGCAGATTCGTTGCCGTCTGAGCCACCAGGGAAGATGTCAACTTTGATCTCACATTAAGTAGAATCATGGTGGCTGGGGCAGGGGAAGGACCAGGGCTTCCAGACCAAATGGGCCGGGGTCCAGTGCCTGCAGGCGCAGGCTGGCCGAGGGATGCCCTGAGCTGGACACAGAGGCTGGAGTTCGTAGCTGTTTCCAAGTGAGAGGATGAAATCAGTGAGGCATGGACACATGGGTGTTTGGCATGTACTAGTCCTGCTCCTGCATTCCGTTAAGAGGGCAGGTTGAGTATGGGTGACCCTGCACACCGTGGGGACATCATCCCACAGCTTACAAAGAGCTCTTTGTAGCGAAAAAGGGTAACTGAGGGTCTAACACAGGCTTAGCTTTGATCCACTCACTCACCTCTCTTTTGTAATACCTTCTTAAACCCAAGAATTGATGAATCTTTTAGTGACAGAGCAGGGGAGAGGAATGAGGCTGGTTGGGGAGGCAAGGTGAATTCGTTTTATAAATGAAATCCCAATTGTCATGTAGGTTTATTTTTTTCTTTAAAGAGATCTCTGTTTCCAATTAGAGATGTTATGAGTGTTGTTGATGCTGTCAGATATGGAGGATCATGCACCTCGGCTCACCTTTGCGTGGCTGACAGATATTCTCACGTGTGGAGCTCTCACTCTAAAATGTGTTTGCTTATGTGACATAGTGAACCCAGCCACACTTTAAAGCATAATTATTTCACTGTTTTATAGTCAGTTAATATAATGGCTTTAAAATGAATTAAACATTCATTAATACCTGAATTTATATGTATTTTGCCATTCTGTACTGCATTTGCTAAATTAATATAGCACACTTGAGTCCCTTCATTACCAAAGATTAATTTCTAATTTTTATATTTCATTTCAAGAAAACCCAAGCATGTCATACTTAAGCATGACTAACAGTCAAACTTCATCTCCACTTTCCTTATTAAGCTGTCACTCCGTTTTGTAGTGACAGGCCCAGAAAAGTTACAAACACTAGCCAATAGGGTATTGGGATAGAATAGGCCAAAATGGGCAAGTCGTCCTCTTCTGTCACATGGAGGGAATACAGTCAGATCTGTCACGATGATTGTTGTTGACAATGAAGTACTGAGTTCTGTGTCACAGAGTTAAGTTCAGCCACACCATGAGGAAAGTACAGTTTTGTCCTTCAAATCTAGTACTTGAAACACATTAGAAAAGTCTGCCTGGGAACAGGGTGTGTAGTTTGACGGCTCTTAAACCAAAAGGGACCTTGTAGTCACCTTTGACCTTCTGGTTTCCCAGATTGGCAAGCAAAGGTCCAGAGAGTGTGAGTGACTTGCCCAGGGCCTGGGGTGTGGGGGAGAAGTCAGAGTCCCTCTTCTGTGGAGAAGCGCACGGGGGCTCCGGGCTGACCAAACCGGGAAGAGGGTCCAGGCAGGGAGATGGGCCAGAAAGCAGGCATGGGGGGTCTGATGTGACCAAATGCTGGGAGAATGCCAACAGCAGGTGGGAAGAGCCAGGACTGGTCGAGGGGCAGGCCTGCGGAGGCCAAGTGAGGTGCAGCAGAACGGGCCTGGAAGGGAGGGGACAGAGGTTAGCATTTCCGGGCCTCTGGGGCAGCTGCAGGACAGTGTCAGCAGTGGGGCAGCTACATCTCCAAAACAGAGGGTCCGTGTGTTCTCAAGGCTTCCCTGGTGGCTCCGCCGGTAAAGAATCTGCTTGCAATGAAGGAAACTTGGATTCGATCCTAGGGTTGGGGAGATCTCCCTGGAGAAGGAAATGCAAACCTACTCCAGTGTTCTTGCCTGGAGAAGCCCATGGACGGAGGAGCCTGGCGGGGTCACAAAGCGTCAGACACGACTGAGTGACTAAGCATACACACATTCATCCTCAAAGATACATGCTGGATGCTTCGTATACCTTGCCTCATTCATCTTCCATTTTAATACGAGATTGCTTATATTTTTAACAATAATATGTTGGGTTTCAAAATCAGAGAAATAGCAAGATTAGTGAGAAAATGTAAACTAAGGTGGCTCTGGGTGGTCTGCTTCTGCAAAGTGTGACTTTGGGTCTGTTCTATGCACTCTACCTTGTCTGCAGTTCAAAACCATTTTAAAAAAAGAACTTTTGAGAAACAATGTAAAAATGTAATAAGCAGGACTGTTGCTCTCCGCCCCTCCCCCCCCCGAAAGTGACAGAAGTTTCCTTACACACGAGAGTACATTCCGTCTTCTGTAACTTGAAGACACAGAAGCACGTGTAAAGCCAGGGACTGGGCGCCTGCGCATGCGCTACAGTTGCGCATGCGCAGTGGAGACCCCTGTGATTCCTTAGTGTGGGTCGCGAGGCTGCGCTGGGCCGGGTTGTGAGCAGCCGGGAGGCAAGGCACTTGTAGTCCTGAGGAGACAAGAGGCCAGGAGCCCCGGGAAGGCGCCGAGAGCAAGTGAGATGGAGCCGCAGGGTCTTCACCAGCCGCCTGCTTTGGGAAGAGCGCGTGGCTCAGGGTGGAGGCGAGTTGCGGGGGAGGGAGTGGCGAGGGACAGGCCTGTCAGAGTGTTGCCCTGACCTGGGTGTGACGTGGGGGCCCTGGATGAGGCTCCATGTCCAGAGGTGTTGAGTGTGACTGACAGTGGGGTTTGTGAGGAGCCAGGCGGGACTCCCAGGATGCCGCATCTAAGGGGTGGAGGGTGGGGACCTGCTGTCCATCAACCAAGCGAGAGATGCACCTTCAGACGGAGGCCCTTCTCCTTGTCGCTACTCTAGGCCCGTTGGTGAAAACCAAGACTGTCCTGGGCAAACTGGGGGCCGGGGGCACGTTGCCCAAGGGGTGCGAAGAGGGGGCGGTTTGGGGCCGGGGGAGAAAGATCTTAACTTCCATACTTTCAGTTAGACCAGAATCATACAGTGTTTATTTAGCTGCATTTGAGACTCAAAAGGAGCAGCGTTCCCCTCATTTCTGGTAGTTTTGGAATTCTTTATGAATCTGAATCATTTTGAACCTTGAAACAGTGTCTTTGTGAGAGTCGGGGAGAACTGCATACTGATGGCGTCTCTGTGTGTTTCCTCTGCAGAAAACCAGTCTCTGACGAAGGACGTGTTGTGTGCCGCTCTGCACTGTGAGCAGAGCGTGGTGAGGCTTCTGCTGTTATCTGCCCTGCGAGGGGTCGTTCTGGTGCACGACCACTACCAGGTTTGGTATCCTTGATGTCTCAGAGACCTTCCTATTCCTTATGACTGGCCCATGCAGGACAGTTTCCTGTTCCAGGCTTGCTGGCTTGGTCTTAAAGACAAGAGACCATGGTGCAGAGCTGTATGGGGAGTCAGGGCTGCAGACTGGGTGTCCACACCTCCTTCCCCCAGGTCCTCCAGCTGCGGCTTGACTGGCTGGCACAGGCTTGGGAGAGCTGGTTGTTAAATGTTTAAGAGTTGCAAGCTGGTTCTTAAACATAGACATCATTAAGAATCAAATTATGTATGGTAAAATAAAGTTGAAAAGAAAGACACTAAACATTCAAGATTCCTCACTTCCTAATTAGTTTAGTATGTTTTGCTCTTGTCTGAGAAGGTTTGCGCTCTTTTATCTGCACAGTGGAGATGGTACTCTTGGTCTCTTCCCCATCCTGTGTTCAGTGACGTCATGTTGCCTGTTTGAGTAGGTCATGCTGAGAGTCTGGCAGGCAGAAGGGACATGGGGGCAGAGGAAAAAAGTCATGTGTGCGTGAGTCCTGCCACCAAGTAGGAAGCGAATAGTCTGGTCTGATGGACTGCCCAACCCCACCGTCCCCAGGCCTCAGATGGACAAGACTCCAGCCGAGGCTTCATTCTCTGAACACCGCTGGTCCCAGGCTTCCCGTCTTCCTTGCTCCGCAATTCAGAGGTTCTGTGTGGTGGCCTCTTCAGGGGACTTGCGTTTTGGTGCTCAGATCGCATGCAGAGAAGTTCGTTTGTGCTGCAGAAACCCCAAGGCAGGGACTCAGAACCCAGGACTCTCTACTGTGACACCTCAGAATGCTTCACATTTAACTTGCTTGGAACACACATTTGTTAGTTCTCTGATCATCTGAATGATTCATGACTTTGCTTTGTGAGAGTGATCAGTGACAGTTTTGAGAAAGTTGTTTAGAAGCATTATTAAAATATCATGTGTTCTCTCAGCCTGAGCGCCGTCTTTTGAGAAACCTTCGTGCCATGAGAGTGAAGTACATTAGCCTCCAACTAATAAAAATTAAAAAAAAAAAATAAACTACACAGACCTAATTATTAATACATTCATCTGCCTAAAAAAAAAAAAAAAAAAAAAGAAACCAATGTGCAGGCTGAAGCACAGAAGAAAAAAGATGAGGCAGAGGTCCGAACAAACTTGGACCCCCATGGAAGCCTCAGAGGCAGAAACAAGGGAAGCCAGAGGCCAGGGACGCAGGGGCAAATTGTGGCCTGCATGCTTACTATCCAGAACTTGTCTCAGTGGATCTGGAACTTTGAATGGTCTCAATGGCTATCCTGATCTCCTCAGCCACCTTTGACTCATCTTGCTTGTATCAAAGCAGTCCGTTTTGGTCCTTTTCCCCGGACCTGTGATATTATGGACTAGTTCTCCTCTCAGTTGTGGCTGAATGTAACATGTACAATAATTATATCTTTTGCTGCCTTAGCCGAAGGAAAAAAAATAGTATGTGTTGATTTACATGAGATAGGGGCTTCCCTGGTGGCTCAGTGGTAAAGAATCCGCTGGCCAGTGCAGGAAACTAGGGTTCAGTCCCTGGGTCAGGAAGAGTACCTGGAGAAGGAAATGGCAACCAACTCTGATATTGTTGCCTAGAGAATCCCATGGACAAAGGAGCCTGGCGGACTACAGTCCACGGGGTCACAGAGAGTCAGACATGACTGAGCATGCATGAGTTACATAAGGTGCCTTCCCCAAATCACCACAACCTGGGACTGTGCTTGCAACATCAGGAAGAACTGGGTGATGAAATAAATCAATTCTAATGATGTGAAATAAATGATGTACAGCAGAACTATATTTAAAATGGATAACCAATGAGGACCTACTGTATAGTACAGGGAATTCTGCCCAGTGTTGTGTGGCAGCCTGGATGGGAGGGGAGTTTGGGGGAGAATGGATTACATGTATATGGCTGAGTCCCTTTGCTGGTCACCTGAAACTTCCACAACATTGTTAATTTGCTATACCCCAATACAAAATTAGAAGTGTTAAGTTTGGAAGAAAAATGATATACAGCAGAACTGCCGAGTCCAGGGAAGTGTGTATAGATTTATATGCGTGTCTGTACAAACAAACACATGTGATCTTCTGCTTTGGGGGTCATTTTACATTTTAAGTTATATTTGTTAGTTAGTTTTATGAACTATAGGTATTTTACATTCTTATCAATTTATAGGTATTATATATTTTATAAAATGATTAGTCTTTTATACAGCTGTTGATGCTTGTAAAAGATGCTGATAATGTGTCCATGGAGTCTTAAGAGTTGGGGCCTAGGCCAGGGATTCTTCCATAGGGCTTCTCCAAGCACCCACTTCCCCTGACAAAAGTGGCCTGGCACCTTTCTTGAAAAGTGTCATTTTTAGGCCAGGAGGTTGTGTGTCAGGAGGAGCTGGGCAGTGCTGCTCCTTGCCATGGCCTTGTGTCCGCTGGGTAAATGGCAGAGCCAGGCAGAGGTTCCCAGGCAAGGCTCTCCTGATTCCCGGCCAAGGGCTCTTTTCAAGGCCTTGCAATATGCACCCAGGCAGTTGGGCAGGATCAGACATTGTCCGTCGCCTCTGCCCTGTTTCCTTATAGTGAGGACAGAAGACTGGCAGCTGTGTAGACAGCAGACTGACAGTCCATGTGATGCTCGGCGAGGATGCCTGAGTGTCTGCTTGAGCTCATGCCAATGGTTTCCAACTGTATCACTGCTGTGTTTTCTAGGAATTGGAAAAGATATGGACCTCTCCCCATCAGCTAAGCTGTGAAGGCCTCCGCAGGAATCTCTCCAGAGCCTTGGAAAGCTTCCGGAGCAGTTTGGAAGATGCCAGTGAGCAGGACTGTGAATGCCAGCCTGGGCCAGCCTCCAAGCCACACACGTATGCCCTGGCGGGGCCCATGCCGCCTCAGTCTCTCTCTTCATAAGGGCGATGCTGTGCCTTAGTAAATTATGAATCTCAGGCAATAATATGTGACAAACACTGTTAATGTACACATCAGTGTACATTTATTACTTTATGAATAATCATTTTATTAATTATTTATTAATGTATTTTCTCACCAAACCAAAGCTTCCCATGACTTTAACTTTTGAGACTTGTAAGTGGTAGGAGCAGCATCAGTGTTGAGGCTGGCTTTACTGGGGATCAAGAAATTGAATCAAAATGTCAAGATTCAAGGTTATAATATGGTAGTAAAGATGTTCGGTAGGGTCAGTCAGTGGTTTTCCAAAGCACCTTTATACTGGGTTAATTTTGCTCTGTGTTCTCAAAGTGGTAAGCCTCAGAAGAGGAAGGTGGGGACTTGTATTCTGAAAATGACTTATTCCCGGAAGAAATGGTGTTCCTCTGACTTTTTGGTGTCCTCATTTCTCGTACATTCCATGGTGTACCCTAACTGTTCTTTCTGCATTTATGAGAGGCATTTGTTATGCATCCTTACTCCCCTGCCTCCTCCTGCCTGGCAGGGGTGTTATGATATTAATGGGTGTTCACACACAGGCACATCGTGTGTCCAATTATCTGAGAAATTTTAGGGAAATGCCATCTTGTTATCTAGCTCATTTCCTGGGAACTGAGGCAGTGTATTCAACCAACATTGTTCCTGGGGTTGTATCTTGCCTAAATTAGCTTTAATTTTCTGCCATTTTAGGCTGGCCCAAAGCCTGGAGAAGACTTTATTGTTGTCTGGGAATCCCATAATGACTTTTCTTAGCAATTTCACAGTAGCTGAGGGTGAGTATGTAGTTCCTCCAAGTTTGCTTGATTAAAAATTAAATTTAGTTTCTCACACAAATATATCATTAAAATAAAACATGTAAAGGGTGAGTTATGCTATCTATATGTAGTAAATAGCAATTTAGAGCCTGGCTGCTCTGATGTATTTGGGGCTGAGAAGAAAGTCCTAGAATCCTGGGTACCAAAACGAAGAATGGACGAGAGAAGCTTCTGTGGTCCAGGGGTCTCCCTGGCCCTGTCTCCCTGTCTTATAGATCCTGATGCCCCCTTGCATCACCATGTCAGGTCTGAAGAATTCTGGCAAATCTCTTGTTAGGAAAAGTGAGATGAGTAGATAGGTGGGGAGAAGTGAGTTTCCTTGATCACTGTTCCCTTGGGGGGGGGGAACACCTCTTTTTTAGAGTAAAATTTAAAATGCACAGGTCTTAGAGGAAGCAATTGAGCAGAATTGCTGGATAATCTGGGGTTTTGTTTTACTTCTGATAACAAACGATCGCAGCTCCCCTGTGGAAGAGTAAGGTGTGGCTTTATTTGGTGCTTGTTGTGGGCTGGATGTAGTGGGAGAACAGTCCTTGCCAGGTTTTCATATCAGATCTTGTCTTCACTACTTCAGTCAGGAGTAGCCTGAATGTTTATTATTATAACATTTGCTTCCTTCTGATTGTCTTTCAGGTGTAAAAGTAAAAGATCTGATGCAGAATATCAGCAAGTTAACTGAGGAGCTCCGATCTTCTTTGCACTTCTCAGATGGAACCATCAATAGTATTTTAGAAGCAAACATCTCCCACTCAAAGGTGGGGTTGCTGCTTCTGTTCATGGCTAGAGCTGTCAGCCTCCTGTGCTCCTACCCCTACCCCATGGCCAGGGGTCCCCTGTGAACTGTGTGTTGTGTATTTGTTACTTGCTCAGCCGTGTCTGACTCTTTGCAACCCCCTGGACTGTACCCCGTCAGCCTCCTCTGTTCATGAAATTCAGCCAAGAATCCTGGAGTAGGTAGCTCTTCCCTTCTCCAGGGTATCTTCCTGACCCAGGGATCCAATCTGAGTCTCCCGCATTGCAGGCAAATTCTTTACCATCTAAGCCACCAGGGAAGGCCCTGAACCATGTAAATGGAGCCAGAAAGGAGATCACAGAACATGCTGGCAGCCCAAGGGTGTCATGATCCGCTGCCAAGACCTTGGAGTCCTCAATTTCATAATAGTGTCTTTACCAGAGTTCAGTTCAGTTCAGTTGCTCAGTTGTGTCCAACTCTTTGCAACCCCATGAACTGCAGCACACCAGGCTTCCCTGTCCATCACCAACTCCTGGAGCTTGCTCAAACTCATGTCCATCCAGTCGGTGATGCCATCCAACCATCTCATCCTCTGTCATCCCCTTCTCCTTCTGCCTTCAATCTTTCCCAGCATCAGGGTCTTTTCCAATGAGTCTGTTCTTCGCATAAGGTATTGGCCAAAAGATTGGAGTTTCAGCTTCAGCATCAGTCCTTCCAATGAATATTCAGGACTGATCTCCCCTTTTAGGATGGACTGGTTGGATCTTCTTGCAGTCCAAGGGACTCTCAAGAGCCTTTTCCAACACCACAGTTCAAAAGCATCAATTCTCTGGTGCTCAGCTTTCTTTAGGGTCCAACTCTCACATCTATATATAACTACTTAAAAAACCATAGCCTTGACTAGATGGACCTTTGTTGGCAAAGTAACATCTCTGCTTTTTAATATGCTGTCTAGGGTGTGGTCATAGCTTTCCTTCCAAGGAGCTAGCGTCTTTAAATTTCATGGCTGCAGTCACCATCTGCAGTGATTTTGGAGCCCAAAAAAATAAAGTCAGCCACTGTTTCTACTGTTTCCCCATCTGTTTGCCATGAAATGATGAGACTGGATGCTGTGATCTTAGTTTTCTGAATGTTAAGTTTTAAGTCAACTTTTTGACTCTCCTCTTTCACTTTCATCAAGAGGCTCTTTAGTTCTTCTTTTGCTTTTTGCCGTAAGGGTGGTGTCATCTGCATATCTGAAGTTGTTGATATTTCTCCCTGCAGTCTTGATTCCAGCCTGTGCTTCATCCAGCCTGGCATTTCTCATGATGTACTCTGTATGTAAGTTAAATAAGCAGGGTGGTAATATACAGCCTTGACATACTCCTTTCCCGATTTGGAACCAGTTTGTTGTTCCATATCTGGTTCTAACTGATGCTTCTTGACCTGCATACAGATACAGATTCCTCAGAAAGCAGGTCAGGTGGTCTGGTATCCCCATCTCTTTAAAAATTTTCCACAGTTTATTGTGATCCACATAGTCAAAGGCTTTGGTGTGGTCAATAAAGCAGAAGTAGATGTTTTTCTGGAACTCTCTTGCTTTTTTGATGATCCAGTGGATGTTGGCAGTTTGATCCCTGGTTCCTCTGCCTTTTCTAAATCCAGCTTGAACATCTGGAAGTTCACGGTTCACGTACTATTGAAGCCTGGCTTGGAGAATTTTCAGCATTACTTTGCTAGCGTATGAGATGAGTGCAATTTTGTGGTTGTTTGAACATTCTTGGGCATTGCCTTTCTTTGGGATTGGAGTGAAAACTGACCTTTACCAGTCTTGCAGCCACTGCTGAGTTTTCCAAATTTGCTGCCATGTTGAATGCAGCACTTTCACAGCATCATCTTTTAGGATTTGAACTAGCTCAACTGGAACTCCATCACCTCCACTGGCTTTGTTCGTAGTGATGCTTCCTAAGGCCCACTTGACTTCACATTCCAGGATGTCTGGCTCTAGGTGAGTGATCACACCATCATGGTTATCTAGGTCATGAAGATCTTTTATGTATAGTTCTTCTGTGTATTCTTGCCACATCTTCTGCTTCTGTTAGGTTCATACCATTTCTGTCCTTTTTTGTGCCCATCTTTGCATGAAATGTACCCTTGGTATCTCTAATTTTCTTGAAGAGATCGCTAGTCTTTCCCATTCTATTGTTTTCCTCTATTTCTTTTCATTGATCACTGAGGAAGGCTTTCTTATCTCTCCTTGCTGTTCTTTGGAACTCTGCATTCAAATGGGTATATCTTTCCTTTTCTCCTTTGCCTTTCACGTCTCTTCTTCCCATAGCTATTTGTAAGGCCTCCTCAGACAACGATTTTGACTTTTTGCATTTCTTTTTCTTGGGGATGGTCTTGACTGTCTCCTGTACAGTGTCACAAACTTCTGTCCATAGTTCTTCAGGCACTCTTTCTATCAGATCTAATCCCTTGAATCTATTTGTCACTTCCACTGTATAATCATAAGGGATTTGATTTAGGTCATTCCTGAATGGTCTAGTGGTTTTCCCCACTTTCTTCAATTTAAGTCTGAATTTGGCAATAAGGAGTTCATGATCTGAGCCACAGTCAGCTCCCGGTCTTGTTTTTGCTGACTGTATAGAGCTTCTCCATCTTTGGCTGCAAAGAATATAATCAATCTGATTTCGGTGTTGACCATCTGGTGATGTCCATGTGTAGAGTCTTCTCTTGTGTTGTTGGAAGAGGGTGTTTGCTATGACCAGTGTGTTCTCTTGGCAAAACTCTGCTAGCTTTTGCCCTGCTTCATTTTGTACTCCAAGGCCAAATTTGCCTGTTACTCTGGGTATCTCTTGACTTCCTACTTTTGCGTTCCTGTCCCCTATAATGAAAAGGACATCTTTTTTGGGTGTTAGTTCTAGAAGGTCTTGTAAGTCTTCATAGAACTGTTCAACTTCAGCTTCTTCAGCATTACTGGTCAGGGCATAGACTTGGATTACCGTGATATTGAATGGTTTGCCTTGGAAACGAACAGAGATCTTTCTGTCGTTTTGAGATTGCATCCAAGTACTGTGTTTCGGACTCCTGTTGACTATGATGGCTACTCCATTTCTTCTAAGGGATTCCTGCCCGCAGTAGTAGGTATAATGGTCATCTGTGTTAAGTTCACCCATTCCAGTCCATTTTAGTTCACTGATTCCTAAAATGTTGATGTTCACTCTTGCCATATCTCCTGTTTGACCACTTCCAATTTGCCTTGATCCATGGACCTAACATTCCAGCTTCCTATGCACATCTTTACAATTGTTCTCTGGACTTTACCAAGTTAGAAAGGGTAAAACTGGTGGTGATGTTCGTTCCCGATTCCCAAACTGATTTGCTCTCAGTAGGGAATACTGTACAAGCTGGCCGCACCGTTGGAGCAGTGTGATGGCAGTGGGCAGTTCTCTGGCTGGCGGGTGAGGGACACCGAGGAGGGCCCTGAGTGAGGAGATGGGGACACGGGGTGGGTTTGCCCATGGAGGGCAGAGCAGGTGAATTTCGTCTGGATCCTCCGCAAGTGCTTTGCTGAGATCCCCTTTTGGCTGTTCGCATGGGGGTGTACTCCCCTGTTGGTAAAGAATCTGCCTGCAGTGTGGGAGACCCGGGTTTGATCGCTGGGTCAGGAAGAACCCCTGGAGAAGGAATGGCAACCCACTCCAGTGTTCTTGCTTGGCAAATCCCAGGGACAGAGGAGCCTGGCGGGCTCTAGTCCGTAGCAACTGAAGCGACTTAGCGCAGCAGAGTTGCTCCCTCATTGGCGAGCGGCCACCAGGTGTCGCTGACGCTCTGCCGCCGGAGGGCTGCGGTTGCGAGGCGCCTTTGCCGTTGAGGTGCAGTGCTTTCTTTGTGTGTGTCCTCCCGGCCATGTGAGTCACTGCGGATGGTCGCCTAAGTGGCTGGATGGTGAGGCTATTGGCAGGGCCATTTAAAAAGCTTGCATTCTTGGGATTCAAATTAGTAATGAAAGTTATTAATATTTGCTGTGCTACCTAAGTGGGTACACGAACTCATGTATGCCTACAAATCTGAGATAATAGATTCATGTTTGGTTAGGTGACACTTGGGACCCTAGATTCTTCTAGGTTGTTAGGTTGTTGGCAGCATCTCTTAATACATATTATCTGTGGTAACTTTTCAGCATTTCTCTCTTTGAACTTCTCTGCCTTACGCTCAGTCAGTGTTGAGTTCATCACCTACCTCAGAGGTCTCAGAGCTTCTAGAACGTGGAGTCTGCAGTTCCCCGAAGGCAGCAGGTGTCTGTGGGCTGGCTTGTGAGATAAATAGACGTGTTTGTGCAGCAAGGTTCCAGAAGCAGGTGTGAGGTGGGATTTCAGTGTAAATCGTGACTGGCGGGGCCCCTGGGCGTGAGGAGCCGCCCCGTGGATGGGGCTGAGGGCTCAGACGGAAATGAGGAGAAACCACCGGCTGTGAAAAGTCACGGGAGAGCCACGGCTTGGGAGACTCGGGTCAGCGTTCCCGAGGAGGCAGAAAGGGACGGAGCCAGGCCGACTGATGGGGACACGGGCACCCGGGAAGCCCCTCTCTCTCCACGCTCTGTCTGTGAATGCCTGTATCTCCAGGTTAACACCCAAATCATAGACTCCTGGGTCCTGGAGTCCACCTCCCGCACTGCTAGCCGGGACTGAATCCCCGCCACCCGCCCTGAGACCAACCAAGCTTCTTAACGCTGGGATGCGGTGTTCTTGGCTCAGGTCAGCGGTGACTTCCTCCCTGTCTGTTGCAGGCCATGTTTTTATTCTTTTAAATGTCACAGTGAGGTCTAAGGGTTCAGGACCAGATAGACTGAGAGAGCAGCCAGAGGCTCTTCTCCTCCCTGGATTCTCTCAGCTGGGGAAGACTGGGTTCTAGCATCCTCAGCAGGTTTGTCCCTTCCCTACCCCCAGCAGCCAGGTACTTGTGGAGGGAGGACAGGAAGGGGCGCCCCGGCTCCCTTTTCTCCTGGGAGGCTTCTAAAGGGAGGAGGTATTCTGAAACCTTGTCTTGTTTACCTCCCTCGGGCAGAAATGTGTGCATTTGGTGGGCCTGGCACAGTTTCTCTCACTCAGGCTGTTCAGTGAACACCAGGAACAACTGGTGCCCTGTTAGCTGAGAGATGCTGGTCAGGGTTCAGCCAGCTCCACACATCCCATTTGTTACAGTGCGTAAGGCTTGTCTTCTGGAGAGCTGCAATGGGTAGTTCCTGGTGTAACTCGCTTCAGAGCAGACCCCGGTAAACAACTGGCTCATTCTGGCCTATTTCTTACCTGAGAAAGACAGAAAGAATTACTTTGTGAGTGGAGTTAAGAGTTTCTGGCCCCCACAAAGGACTGTGGCCATGTGTGCTCTTTAAGGGACTTCTCTGGTAGTCTGGTGGCTGAGACTCCCAGCTCCCAAAGCAGGAGGCCTGAGTTGCATCCCTGGTCAGGGACCTAGATCCTACATGCTGCAACTGAAGATCCCACATGCCACAGTGAAGATCAAAGATCTTGAGTGCTGCAGCTAAGACCTGGTGCATTAAAATGCATCAGTAGTAAATAATATTGGAAAAAAGGCACTGCCAGCCACAGAGCATCTTACCTGAGGGAGCTGCTGCTCGCTGTGCCTGCAGGTAACCCCACCCCCGTGGCTTCAGACTGGAGCTTACATAAGGTCCTTTTAACTTGGGGAACTTCAGACCCTCACTGCCAGTAAATAAACAAAAACATTGAATGACCCCTTCTAATGGGGCCGCTCTTTCATTACTCACATTTATATAAATATCTTTAAGCCTAAGTCTTAAGCTTGATTGCACTAATTTCTACAAAAAGTATTTCTTACTGGTTCCGGCCAGTTATTATAACCATCAAGGTGTTTTCAGTCCTGATCTACTTTGCAGAATGTCATTTGCCTCTCAACATGGCCAGTCACAGAGGAGAAGACCACACCTTCTATATTTTCATTCGTGTTATTAATGTAGAAAGATGCTTGTGACCTGAGGAGGCGCCAGCTCGCACCTGTTTAACATTTTGGGCTCTTAAACCCGCTGTAGCACAACTGCTAACTTGCATGTGTGCGTGTGTGCTAGGTCACTCAGTCATGACCGACTCTTTGCAGCCCCATGGACCGTAGCCCACCAGGCTCCTCTGTCCATGGGATTCTCCAGGCGAGAATATTGGAGTGGGTTGCCATGTGCTCCTCCAGGGGATCTTCCTGACCCAGGAATTAAACCTGCATCTCTATGTCTCCTGCATTGGGCAGGAGGGTTCTTTACCATTAGTGCCCTGATAACATACTAGTCTGATAACTCTGCCTTCTAAAGAAAATGACTTTGTATCGATCTGGATGGTTTTAGCAATTGCCATATTCTTAAAGGGCTCGTGGCTAACCCAGGATCAGAATTCACACCAGGACTGACATTATCTGCCAGTCATTGCTAAAGTTTACTTCAAGAGATAAAGCTAAGGCGGTTTTAACTTTCCTCTTGGCTTCTAAAACACTCTTGGTAATAGAATGTTGTACTGTCTGAAGCCCTGGGAGGAGAGGGTCCTGGGGATGGGCTGGGGTGGGGGTCCTGGGTGGGGAGTGAGTTTCCCACCAGGCCTGCAGCTGGCGGGTGACTGTCTTGGGGGCAGGCCCTCCCCTTACTGCCACCTCTGGACAAGACAGGGGGCTTGATGCTGGCCCACAGACTTTTCGTGGGAGTATGGGAGCAAAGAAGGAATTCACTCATTTCACTCTCGTTCTTAAAGTCAATACTTTTCAATCACTAAACCCATCTACTTCTTACACATCTTTCTTCACATTCCAGTAAGTCAAGCTCTGTTTTGCTGTTAGCCTCGTGTCAGCTATAATGGATGTCACTGGGCTGTGTGTCATTTATAATGATCTCATTTGCTTCTCCCTTTGGAGCACTTTTGGGTCTTGTTATCGTCTCTTTGGCTCAGACGGATAATGACCTCTGGGAGGTCACACAGGAGGAGTTGGAGTTGCCTTATTCTGGATCCTTCCTGAGTCCTCCCCACGGTCTTCCCACTGTGTGTGGCTGCAGCCCTTCCCGACGGTCTCAGAGCCACCTCCTGCCCTCTCATCTCACCCCATCCAGGCCTCTTCATTGTGCAGGCAGATCCGAGCCCGATGGGACCCCGGGAGCCAGGCCGCAGCTCCTCTCTGTCCTATAGAAACTGGTACTTAGCATCCAACCCCACTTCTTTGCTTTGACAAAAGCGGAGGTGGCCCAGTCACCTCCTGTGATGTTCCCATCCTTCCCGGTCACTGTCGGGGCTTCTGTCACAATTAGGCTGAGAACAGTGATTCCTCGCAATGTTTCTGTGTGCCTCTGAGTCTGAAATTACCAGCTGTGGAAACCCACCTCTGAACTGCTGCTCTGAGCACAGTTAGGGTTTTGGCAGATCCCAGGAAACAAGCTCCTGCTTGAAATGCAAATATCTCTCCTGGTGATCACTTCCACTTTTATAGGAAGTCTGTGAATGTGGATGAATGTCTCATTGAGTGTGTGCCTGTGTGCTTGGATTGCAGTGGTGGGCTGCCCTGGACCCCTGTCCCTGAAGTTTTCCAAGCCAGATGTGGACACATAGGAAAGGTGCTGGCAACTTGGCGTCCACATGTTTAATTAAACTGCTTGGACCAGTCTGAGCTGAAAGATGACTGACTCTAAAACGGTTTCACCCATGATATTCCGAGGCCAACAAAACTGAGTATTTTCTCTGTTTTTCTTACTCCCTGCCTGTTTCAGGTGCCTTTTGAGCAGGGAAAGTGGTCACAGTAAAATTGAAAACAAAGATAAAGAATGAAGTAGGGAAGCACAGAGCAGGCATGGAAGCAAACACGATGCAAGATGCTGTTCCTCTGTGTGGGGTGGCCGTGAGGTTTCTGCATGAAGGCAACCCCTGGGACCTCCGCATTGGTTGAAAGACATGTATACAAGTTTTAAGACAAATGTTGGCTTTGGGGCTAAATTCTAAGAGACGCATGGAATATGATCCTGCTTGGGGACCACGCTTGATGCTGAGATGATGCAGAGGAACCCTCACCAGCTGGTTCTGGTTGGTGTACACATGAGACCAGGCACAGTGATCCCGACTCAAGGAGAACTTCCATGGAAGTCTGTTTTACAGAACTGGCCAAAGAGGGGCTTCCCTAATCAAAGCGAAGGGTGGATGTGCATTACCCCCCAACCCCTCTTTGAAACCCTCTTTCAACCAGAGGCATGCACCTTCCCTTAGAGACCATGATGGAAACAGTGGAACAAGGAAATCTTTCCCAAGGTACATCTGTGCCTCATAAGTCCCCTGTGGAAAAAGTGCTTTTGGTTAATTAGGCATGAAAGCAACATCTCTCTCAAAGATTCAAAATGTCCATCAGCATACTAAATTCTCTCTCTGTTTGTGATGGTTAGTTTTATATGTCTATAAGGCTAGGCCACAGTACCCAGATATTTGGCCAGATAGCAATCTAAGTGTCCCTGTGAAGTTATTTTTAGATGAGATTAACATTGAAATCTGTAGACTTTGTGCAGATGTTTGTTGTTCAGTTGCTCAGTTGTGTCCGATTCTTTGCAGCCTCATGGACTGCAGCATGCCAGGCTTCCCTGTCCCTCACCATCTCCCCAAGCTTGCTCAAACTCATGTCCATTGAATCAATGACACCATCCAACCATCTCATCCTTTGTTGCCCCCTTTTCCTCCTGCCCTCAATCTTTCCTAGCATTAGGGTCTTTTCCAGTGAGTCAGCTTTTTGCATCAGGTGGCCAACGTGTTGGACCTTCAGCTTTAGCATCAGTCTTTCCAATGAGTATTCAGGGTTAATTTCCTTTAGGACTGACTGGTTTGATCTCCTTGAAGTCCAGTCTTGAGCGGATTACTCTTTGTACTGTGGGTGGGCCTCATCCAATCAGTTGAAGAACTAAGTGAAAAGACAGAGGCTTCCCGGGGAAGGGGGAGTTCTGCCTCCAGATGGCTCCTGGGGCTAATCTGCCACAGTGGCTTGTCCCTGGGCTTCCCTGGTGCTAGCTGACCCTGCAGAGTGTGGTCTTGCCAAGCCCCTACAACTGAGTGAGCCAGTTCCTTAAAAAAATCTCCTGGAAGATGCACATCCTATAGTTTGTTTCTCTGGAGAACTCCCATTAATCTGTCGTTCTACTTCTTAATGATTTTGGGGTCTCTTTATGGCATTACCTGAAAACATCTGATGAGTTCTCCATGTTCACAAGGCTCCTAATAAGGGAATAGTACCTCTTGTTCACAGAGGGTCCCGCTTGGTTGGAACGTTTTGCAGTAATCGCAGCCATCAGGGTATGAACACAACAGGAAGTCTGCTGCTTGTTTTAAATTTTGCATTATAATTTGTCACATTAACCGGAAGATCATTAACTGGAATTCATTTATAACGCAGCCCCAGCCCTCTCGCAGAGGGAACAGCAGTGTGCCCAGGAGCAGCACAGCTGTCCCCAGGCCCTGCTTTTCACTCTGTTTGCCTTTTCTTGTCAAAAATGATAACTGGCTTGGAAATCTGGTTTCCAGTTGGAGATGGAGGAGAAAAAATAGTTCACACTGATAGCAATGAGAAATAAAAAAAACTGATAACCTGAGAGCAAAGGCTAAGACTCACTGTCAGAGGGAGAGACACAGACATGACTTCTGAGAGCATCTGTGGTGGGGGACAGGTGGCAGCTGGGGGCCTGAAGGCCCCAAGTCATCTCTCTGTTGCATACAGCTTCAGGGGATTATGTGTACATTTTAGAAACCTTTTCATTCAGAATGTTTAAAATAGAACAGAGTTTGGGGAATCCATGACACTGCAGGTAAAGCCTCAGTGTCTTGGGAGAATGGGCTTTCCAAGGTCTCATCTCTGAGGGAGTTCTGAGTCCTGGCTGCACGTCTCAGGCGTAGTCACGTCCAACCCGCATGCTTCGACAGGTGCTGTCCAGCGTCCTGACGGTGGCTTTGTCTGGAAGCTGCAACAGGGACGTCCTTCGGCTCCTGCTCCAGTTCCCTGAAGACGGAAAGTCTGAGTCTGTTGCGAGGGAGCTGTGTGGGCTGCCCAGGGCCCAGGTGTTTTCCGTGATTGTGGTGTTGGCTCGAAACCTGGACCTGCGGAACTTTGTTTACAAAGTAAGGGGAAGACGGGTGCTGGCCTGGCTCGGGCAGCATGAGGGGCCGGTGTGGGTGCATCAGGGCCAGCAAGCCCTGGTGCAGACTTCACAGCCTTGGCCTGTTCCAGAGCCCCCTGGGCACCATCTCTGGGTGGGGGGTCTCGGAGCCAAGGGTTGCTCAGGAGACTTTCTGGGGTCCTTACGGTTAGGCCTGTCAGGACGTTTGGCGCAGCATTAGTGGCAGTCATTGTGCTCAGTGGGAAGGACCAGTGAACAGAATCACCACCCGAGCTTAGCACCTGTTCCCTCCTCTTTGCTGGGCACTGGTCTGACTTTCTCCGGGAGGCTGGGTTCTGCTGCCCATCACCCCCAGTGGCCCCTCTGAGTCAGAGCCACTCCCCTACTTTGGCCATGACCTCCTCTGCCCCCTTTTACATCCTGGGGCAACGGACTGTGTCCCATGAGTGGACGTGCCCACCTCTGCCGGGGCCTGTCCAGGAGAAGGTGTGCAGATGGTGGGGGCATGGGGCAGCCCCTTCCTGTGTGAACTAGCTTGTTACCTGCCCACTCCCAGTAGGTGAGGGGAGGGAGATGGGAAGAACCGAGGGTTATAGTGTGAGCGATAAGGAGTTGATGGTAACCATGGGGACAGCTGCTCGGGGGAGCCCAGTCACCCTCTGCACACAGGAGTTATGCCCGAAGGATTGCACACACATGGCTTATGGCCTCAATCTTGTGCTCTTGGTCCTACCTCTTCTAGAACGTCCTCATCTTCCGGCCTCCACTCTGTTTATGTTTCCAGGCCCTTCACCCTTGACCTCTAGGGGCGGGTCTTGCTCCACGTTTCTCCCCAGGGAGATCAGCCGACATCTGGGCCCATCAGAGTTAGCACAGTGGCTTTAGGTGCTCCACATCCCAGAGGACAGTTTTGGGCTTAGGAAGAGGCAGATTTGCAGTCCAGTCGTGTTTCCTTCGTGGCCTCTTTTCAGTAACTCCAAGAATCCAGTGGGTGGATGTTGGATTACACACACACACACACAGAACAAAGAATAACTCTCAGAATGAGAATTAATTCTGAACATTTCAGAATTTTCATTTCAAGCCCACACGTGGGAGAATGGTTGTGTCCTGAATGTCTCCATGACTGGTGGGGCCGCCCCCATCGAGGTGTGTCCGGGCCTCCGGCTCACGTGCAGGTGGGCGGGTCCTGTGCTCAGCACGTCTGTCTTCACTGTGCCACGGGCACTTCAGGAAATGTGCTGCCCGGCGGAGGCCAGCTCTCTCACGCACACAGAAGCGACTGATTTGAAACTGGTGCTTCTCGGTCCCAGACAATTACAATTACTTTGATAAGAGCCATAGTGATGAAATACTGGGTTATAGTCGCTCTCCCAGACACCATGAAATCGACACCACTGTTAGTAACACCAGCTGCTTCTAGACGCCTGGCTCCAGGGAAGCCTGTTGGTCCATGGTGATGCTGCGGGTGTTAGAGCCCCATGGACGCACATGGGAGCCACACCCAGCCCAGGTATCAGCAGACTCAGCCTGTGCCCTGGGCCTCTCCACTGGCAGCGATGCTAAGGTGCATTTCACAAAACACCATTTGCGGTTAATGTCCAGGGCGTTCCCCTGGCCCGTAGGTGCTGGGTCTCAAATCCGGCCACGCCCAACAGCCAGTGTCCCCGAGGGCAACTTCTCAGGTGCAGCCTCGGTTAGGAAGGTCGGTGGAAATGTGACAAGACCTGCACTGCCTTTGCTCCTGTCCAAGGTGTCTCTGTTGCCTTAACTGAGGACAGTCGCTGTGTTTTGAGCAGAGAGAGTATGTGAGGGGCAGAGTGGGACTTGGGTCCCGTGGGTCAGGGGCAGAGCCAGCAGCCTTGTGGCAGGAGCAGAATTGTTAGGGGCCAAGGCCTGAGTCTGCAAACCTACTGTGCCGCCTCCACCTCTGTACCAAGAGGCCATGTTTGTTGACTTGCCCATTCATGCAGAGACTGGTATTTTTGGGAAATTTTTATTTATTTATTTGTTCATTGACATTTCCTCCTAACACAGTCTTCAAAAAGCCTTTTTTTGGGATCTGGACCATTTAAAAATCTTTATTGAATTTGTTGCAATATTGTTTCTGTTTTCTGTTTTGGTCTTTTGGCCATAAGGCATGTGGGATCTTAGCGCCCCCCCCACCCCCCCCCCCCACCGGGGATTGAACACCAGCCCCTGCATTGGAAGGCAAAGTCTTAACCACTGGACCACTGGACTGCCAGGGAAGTCCCATGACAATCTTTTAAAAAATTTTTTTAACCTTTTAAATTGTAGTTGGTTTATAGTATTGTGTTAGTTTCAGATATGTAGCACAGTGATTCACTTATACATACATAACTATTTTTTCAGGTTCTTTCCCCTTATATGTGTGTGCTCAGTCATTTCAGTTGTGCCTGATTCTTTGCAACCCTGTGGACTGTAGCCCACCAGGCTCCTCTGTCCATGGGATTCTCCAGGCGAGAATACTGGAGTGGGTTGCCATGCCTTCCTCCAGGGGATCTTCCCAACCCAGGGATCAAACCCAAGTCTTCTGCAACTCCAGCACTGCAGGCAGATTCTTTACCACTGAGCCACCCAGGAAGCTCCTTTCCCCTTATGCTGCTGCTGCTACTGCTGCTAATTCGCTTCAGTCGTGTCCGACTGTGTGACCCCATAGACGGCAGGCTCCCCCGTCCCTAGGATTCTCCAGGCAAGAATACTGGAATGGGTTGCCATTTCCTTCTCCAATGCGTGAAAGTGAAGTCGCTCAGTCGCTGACTCTTAGCGACCTCATGGACTGCAGCCTACCAGGCTCCTCCATCCATGGGATTTTCCAGGCAAGAGTACTGGAGTGGGGTGCCATTGCCTTCTCCTTCCCCTTATAGGAAAGGGCAAATAACCTCATAGATTATTACAAAACATTGAGTAGAGTTCCCTGTGCTAACCAACCAGTATTGCCAAAGGCTGTTCTAGTCCCTGTGGCCACATCAGTGACCACGACAGGCAAAAATCCCTGCCTCCATGGACTTTGCATCCCCGAACCGAGAGGATGCTGTTCATAAGTCAAGTGCAGAGCATGTCAGTGGTGACGGCACAGGTGGGTTCCAGGATAAGGAGACACTGATGTCTCTAAAGCACCCATGTTGCATTCCTGGCCCTGATCATCCAGCTGTGGTGCTGTGGGAGCCCTTGCATCTCTCTGAACTCAGGTTCTTCACCCACACAACCAGCCCCAGCACACAGCCTGCAGGGATGAGGAGAACTGGAAAGGATGTGTGTGCTGTGACCCAGGGAGGAAGTGGGTAAATGGAAACTGTCTCACATGTAACAGCTGTCTCATTTTGACCCTCTTAAATTTCCACTCAGGGCACCACAAAGACAGAAATATTTTTTTTAGACTAAAAAAAAATATTTTTTAGTTCTATCATTTTGCTCTTGTTTTCCAATTCAATAATTTATGCTTTTATCATTATTATTAAATATCTCCTTTTTGATCTCTTTAGGGGTAATTTTGTTGCTCATTTTCCAACCTCTTAAATTGGATACTTAATTATTCAATTCTTTTGTAAATGTGAGTATTCAAGGTTAAGACTCAGCCTTTAGATACAGATGCGAACTATTTTGGGCTTCCCAGGTGGTGCTAGTGGTAAAGAACCTGCCTGCCAATGTAGGAGATGTAAGAGATCCAGGTTCAATCCCTGGGTTGGAAAGATTCCCTGGAGGAGGGCATGGCAACCCACTCCAATATTCTTGCCTGGAGAATCCCATGGACAGAGGAGCCTGGTGGGCTACAGTCCATAGGGTTGTAAAGAGTAAGACATGCCTAAAGTGACTTTGCACACATCACTGATTGTTTTATTTATTCATTTGTTTATTTTTGGCCACATGGCAGGTGGGATCCTAGGTCCCCCACCAGGGATCAAATCCTTCCCATGTGCAGTAGAAGTATGGAGTCTTAACCACTGGACCGCCAGAAAAGTACTAGAAAGAAGAATTTTTAAAGTGATTTGAATTTTAACAATAGGTCACATCTGCCCCTGCTTTATGTGCTGACAATCCCGGGGCGGTAGAGTGTGCTCCAGAAATGGAGTTGAGAGAGGGGACCTCATAGGGCACAACAGAGGTGTCTCCCAGGCTCAAGAGAATAAAATCAAATAACACTCTTCACTCGCTTCACTGTACCAGTGAGGCTCAAGAGGTCCCAGGTCCAGCGTTGGTTATGTCGTGTTGTGTTTCTTTTGAGACTCTGCTTCCTGCTGAAGCCAGCACCCTGCTGAGCGCCCTGCTAGATGTCGTGTCCAGCCTCAGCCACCTGCTTCCCAGAGCTGGCCGCGTCCTCGAACGCCTTCCTGCATTCCTCCATGAATTTAAGATCACTGCTTTGCTGGATGCACCTGACTTCCAGCAGGTGGGTGTTTGATCTTGGCCCCGGGAAAGGTGTGCATTCACTGTGTCTTTGTGTTTGCATCTTTGTTTTTCTTTCTCTTCCAACGTCTGAAATGTGCATTGATGACCAAGCATGGGGCTGTGGGGACCTCTTAGTGGTTCTGGAGGCAGCAGTGTCATGACATCATGATAAAGAGCAAAGCCTGGGGTGTCCTTCAACATCTGAAGAACCAGACTCCAGGGATGCACATCCATCCACGCACATGTGTTTTCTGTGACCGAAGAAATCACAGAATTGATCATCCACACAAATGAAATTCCAGGGGTTTGTTTAGCTTCTCAGAGAATACATTGCTTTCAAAAACCTTGATACATTTATTTGCACACAAATAACTGGCTTCCAGATTATGTATCGCAAATACAAACACAAAGTCCAGTGAGGTTAGTATCCTGAGGTTCGTTTTGCTTGGACTCTGTCTGCCTGGAATGAAATGGTGGGGAGGGGGTTGTGTAGGGGCTTGCGGAGGGAGGGGCAGGGTGAGGGGCGGGTGGTGTGTCCTTGGACCTACCTTGGAGGCCGTACTCGGGTTCATCATCAGCTGAGGGCTGCTTTGATGACCCTCAGGCATCTGGGAAATTTGGTTGTAGAGACACATATTCATACTATTGATTAGTCTGAGTTAGTGATATTTATTGATTAATAATTTATGTGTGTGTATGACATTTGTCTCTTCATATAGACCAGCAAAATCAAGGACAGAAAAGACTAAAGCTCAGATACCATAGCTTTGATGTGTTGACAATCTCTTGTGTTCCTTTGGAGGAGGGACGGCAGGCTCAGGAGCCTGTGAGGGAGTCACTCTAAGCCACCGTTTGCCTGGGGTTTATTTTTCTTTTGTTCTCAGGCTTCACAGGGTAACCAGGCCAGAAGTTCAGCCATTGGTTCTTTCCAATCTTTGATGAAGATGGTTTGCAAGGACCAAGCATCTTTCTTCAGCAGCTCTGACACCTTTCTTAACTTGCCTAGAGTTAATGAACTCTTAGGAGATGACAAAGAGAAATTCAACATTCCTGAAGATTCAAGTAAGAAAACAGTAATCCATATGTGTTTAGATTAATTTGCATTTTGATAATTAGCCCTGCTTTGTACAAGATACTCAGTCTGTGTGGAAAATGGGTACATACTTGCCAAGAATTTCCTGTTCCACTGTTCAACCTGTATCCTTCATTTAGTGTAAAGTCAATGAATGCTGGCCTGGCAGTTGGCTTTGCAAGACCCCTGCACCCTCGAGCACAGGCTAATTCTGTCACCTGTGATGCCAAGGAGCTGGATCTTAAAATTCCAGTGCACCTGAAGCCCCAGCCCTTTGGGGCCCTGGGATAGCCAGTGACAGTGAGAGGTCGGGCCCAGAGACCAGGAGCAGCATTTTGGTTCCTGCAGGATGGCTGTCTCACAAAGCCAGGGGAGCTGTAGGTAGCCTCCCACAAACTTGACTTCTAGGTAAAGCTGAGTAGCAAATAACAGCAGAGTTAAAAGTTATTTCCTGGCCCCACTTTAAGCGGCTGCATTTTAATTAGAAGGACAGACTAAGGGTAAGTGTGCTGATAAAGGTTTAGACTGTTCAGTCCCACCAACAAGTTGTGTGTCTTTGGTCCTGTGACTTCATGTCTCTGAATCATGTTCATCTTGTGTTTAACATGGAAACTTAATAGCTGCCTCATAAGGTTGTTGTGAGAGGTAGTACGTGTGTCCTACTAACTGTGAGGACAGTGCTCCAGTGTGTCCTAGTGTGTTCATTACTCTTCCATGCTGCACAGAGTCAGTGGTTTAGGACACACGCACTCAGCATCTCATAGTCTGTATGGGCCACAGTTTGAGCGCTGACCAGCTGGGTCCTCTGTCGGGACTGACACGGCTGCAGTGAGAGTGTCGATCAGGGCTGGGTCCCGTTGGAGGTGGCTGTTGGTAGAGCTCACGTTCTTGCAGGTGTAGGAACCCTGGTGGCTGTGTCTTTAAGGACAGCAGTGCATCTCTTTGACGGGGAGGCTCCTGGACTCTTAAAGGGTTTGGCTGATGTTTCGGCCAAGGAAACCTCCCCTTTGATCAACTCCAAGTCAGAATCCCTGCACCAGGCCCGGATGACCTGACCACGGGTGTGTCCACACGACCAGGCGTGAGTGCCTTGAAGCCGTCTTAGACTTCTGTCTGCCGTGCCCACCACACCTCTTTCTATACTTGTGCCTGGGATGGGTGGAGGTGTTGATGGGGCGAGGGGAAGGGAGAGAGCTGGGCTGCCTAGAGGAGGAGCTGCAAGGTGTCTCAGGGCCGCCCTAGAGACAGCGCGTTGGTGTGTTCATCAGCTGATGGGTAATTGGGTGGCAGTGTGGATACACGTGAAGGCTATTAATGTGAATAATTTTGTTGCCTCCTATACTCATCCTCATTTCTTCTTTTTTCTTGCATATGGGTTTTTTGAGGATTATTGATTTGTTCATCAAATCCAGTCATTCAGCCATTTATCCATCCATTTATCCTTTCATCTTCCCAACTATGGATCCATTCATCCTTCTATTGAGCCATTGATACAACCATCCATCCACCCATCTGTCCATCCATTCAGCCATCCATCCACGCATCCACTCATCTATCCATCCAGCCATCCATTCATCCATCCGGTCATTCGGCTAACACTGAGGACCAGTCTTTCTGGGTTCTTTCATACATTTATTTCAAATGATTATCACACTAACCATAGGAAATAATAATACCTTCCTTTTTCAGTTGACATGATAGAAGCTCAGAGAAGGTTAAGTGACTTGCCCAAGTTCACACAGCTCCCAAGTGGCAGGTGTCAGGATTCTTGGTTTCAGATTTCTTTTTATGTTCATATTCTTATGTGTTTTCCAAGCTAAATATTGCCACCATCTATATTAAGCTTATAATTTAAAGTGTAAGTTATTAAAGTATCAGTAAGAAGAACAACCTCTATACGTAATGCTATAAAAAGTCATTATGGAATCATGCACTTAATTTATAGTTTGTAAAATTATTTCTTTCAATTTTATTGTGTTTATTGAATAAAAGGAATTTGCTTTTATTTTCAAATGGGGAATTTAGAAAGATGAAACTAATAGTGAAAATTATCATAACAGTAACTTTCATATACTGGGTATTACAGATAATGGTATCAAAGCTAAGATAATATTTTCATTTTAAATGTTCTCTTTGGGAGTAAAAGAATGGGTTATACTGAAGCATTTATCACTAGCTTAAAACCTTTAATATTTGATTACTAATCATTATCGTGGTAAAGGCACCACCTTCATTACGTACCTATTGGTTTAGTCAAGTAGACCTTCCGTTGAAACCAACCAACACCACAGCAGGTATGAGTGCCATCATGAGGAACTGATATTTGGGTGAAAGCTAGGGTCTTTAATGTAACAAAAGCAGTCAGTGCAATAGTTCTTCATAAATGCAGCAAAGGAAAGCCTGTAGCATTTCATAAAGCTAAATCTTTAGCATTATGAAAAAGCCTGTAGCATTTCATTAGAAAAACCTAATTCTTATCTTGATATTTTGACTGTTGCAATGAAAATTTTCTAGATTAAACACCAGATGCATTTCTTTTACATCACTGCTTTCATTTTCAAGTGTCTTTGTCATTGTTTGGTACCTTTACTGATGATTTAGTTTAAAAATGTGAAAATCATATTTCCTTCTCATTCAAAACATTGATGGGAACAAAGTTTTGAGAAAAGAACTGCTAATGACAGGGACTGAAAAATTATTTCTGACTTTATTGCCCCAATTCAGAACTGAGTCATGAAAAATATATATAAACCACTCATTTGAAAGTGAGGTGTCATGGCTATATAAGTAAATTCTGTTACCCTGGGCATCCTGTATCATGAGTAACATTTTTTTCTTTTTTGATGGTGACAGCACCATTTTGCTTGAAGCTTTATCAGGAAATTCTGCAGTCTCCAAATGGCGCTTTGGTGTGGTCCTTCCTAAAACCTGTATTACATGGAAAAATACTGTATACACCAAACACTCCAGAGATTAATAAAGTCATTCAGAAGGTGAGTGTGACTCAATGAGGGTGTTATAGACCATACAAGCAGTGCAGTGGGGAGCAGGCTGTTAAAATATTTACCATGATTGTTGTATAGCTCAGATTACACACAGTTTTCTTATGTTGACAATTCATTTTGCCTTTTTTTTTTTGGCTGTGCCCTTTGTTGTTGAGCTTAGACGTGCTGCATCGTTCTCTCAGAGGACATCTTGGGGGGAGGAGGTGTTATTTAGACTAAATAATGCAGGGGGAACAATCAGACAGAAGGAGGCCAGTCAGATGTCCCAGGAGGATGTGGAGAACAGGTGGGCATCTGGTGATGAAGGGAGAGTCAGACCCCGTGTTCATGGTCTGGTCGTGTTGTTTCCCAAGTTGGTGGCGAGCCTTTGGTGCCCCCACTTTGATTCCTTGGTCCCTGCCCCACTCTGCCCGATGGCAGGCAAGCTCAGGTGAAGAGGCCAGAGAGCTTCCCTGGAGGAGTTTGGACATTGCACAGCTCTGCACGTTTTCCCTTCCTTAGGCTTCTTACCTTCTTGTGCGTGCTAAGTTGCTTCAGTCATGTCTGACTCTCTGTGACCCCATGGACTGTAGCCCGCCAGGCTCCTCTGTCCATGGGATTCTCCAGGCAAGAATACTGGAGTGGGTTGCCATGCTCTCGCAGGGGATCTTCCTGACCTGGGGATTGAACCTGGGTCTCTTATGTCTCCTGCACTGGCAGATGGGATCTTTACCACTAGTGCCACCTGGGAAGCCCCGTTCAACTCAGGATTTATCATTGGTCATATTTACACTTCTTCTGAGATGATGGTGCAGTGTTTTCCCGCGGTCTCATCTTTTTTTCTGACGGTGGCTTATGAGTCCGCAGACACTTTTGAGGGGCTTCAGGAGGCCATGGGGCCTGTCAGACCTGAGGAGGAATCATCAGTCCTATTAGTGCTGAACTTCCAGGCTTCAGATGCTACTCACAACTTAAAAGCTGAAGAGTTAGTGGTGGTGTGCAGTCATCCAAGCAGTTGGGTTATTTTGGGTCCAAGTAGATTTTACAAGTTCATGTTTCCTTTCCTTTACGGCTGTCATGTGGAGTCTTTTTCCCACCTGTGACTCGGCTCAGGGGCTGTATTTGCCACTGTTTATTCTGATGGGAAAACAGTGGCTGACTTTATTTTTCTGGGCTCCAAAATCACTGCAGATGGTGACTGCAGTCATGAAATTAAAAGATGCTTACTCCTTGGAAGGAAAGTTGTGACCAACCTAGACAGCATATTAAAAAGCAGAGACATTACTTTGTCAACAAAGGTCCATCTAGTCAAGGCTATGGTTTTTTCAGTGGTCATGTATGGATGTGAGAATTGGACTATAAAGAAAACTGAGTGCTGAAGAATTGATGCTTTTGAACTGTGGTGTTGGAGAAGACTCTTGAGAGTCCCTTGGACTGCAAGGAGATCCAATCAGTCCATCCTGAAGGAGATCAGTCCTGGGTGTTCATTGGAAGGACTGATGCTGAAGCTGAAACTCCAATAAGTTGGCCACCTCATGTGAAGAGCTGACTCATTTGAAAAGACCCTGATGCTGGGAAAGATTGAGGGCAAGAGGAGAAGGGGATGACAGAGGATGAGATGGTTGGATGGCATCACCGACTCAATGGACATGAATTTGGGTAAACTCTGGGAGTTGGTGATAGACAGGGAGGCCTGCGGTGCTGCGGTTCATGGGGTCCCAAAGAGTCGGATATGACTGAGCGACTGAACTGAGCTGATTCTGAATGTACTTGATAACTTCTGCTTTTATCTTGAGAATATCCATTTGGCAGGGTATATACTGAAAGCCTGGGCTCTCACAGTGAAGTGACATTAATCTAGACGGGCTTCAGGCGTTCATCCTTTCAGGGCTGTGCTTCAGAGGGGCCTGGAGCCAAAGCCAGTGTTATTCAGATAATCCCAGTGCATTAAGCGTTTAAGGACTGTGGGTATTTTAGAAATTTCACAGAAAATGGCTCTCTATCACAGCTTTATTTTAAATTCAATTTAAAAAATTCAAGAAAGAAATTTATTTTTGTTATAGTGTATTATTACACATAATATCATTGATAACAGTATTATATGCACTATAGTATTATATACTGGGGTATATTCTGCACTGTAACAGCTAGTGTGACCATCCTCTTGTTGAAGAGCTCACCCTGCAATGGGGAAAGAGAAGACAAACATCTGAAGAAATACCTCAGAAATAATGTGATGAGAAATTCATTCTGAGAGCAGTGTCCACAGGCTTCCTTCCTGGTCTGTGGGTCAGGGTCGACCAAGAGTAACAGCAGGGAGAGTTAACAGGAAGTGTTCCCACTGTAGCAAGGTGCTGGGGTGATGGGTCGGTCAGTGATGTGAAGAGAATTTTAAAGCACGAAGCCTCTCTGCTGGGCTACGAGGGTGTCCAAGGAAGGGACAAGACCGGATGTGGCCTCCAACCAGGGCTGGGGTCCGACCTCCCTGGGGAGAGCGTGGTTCTGGCCAGGTGGGTGGCTGGGTTGCCCAGGAGCCTTCCTGGTATGGTTTCAGGGGCGTCTGCATGCTGGGGGCTGGAGAAGGTCTACACTCGGTGACTCTCAGTGAGGGTGGACCAGGCCAGACCTGGGGGCATCATCTGCAGCAGGGAGTCGTCCACAAGGAGATGCCAGGCCAGCAGCAGCCCCTTCTGTCAGAGCAGAGCCTGGAAAGGTGCTGTGTGTGGGGGCCCAGGTGTGTGGGGGCTGGGTGGCCAGGAGGCTCTGGGGAGAGCCGCCTGTCCGGTGAGGGGGTTACTCCACAGTGAGATCAAGAGGAGGGAGCCTCTGGGGGGAGCCGTCTGCTGTGGGGCGACTCCACAGTGAGGTCAAGAGGAGAAGCCTCTGAGGGAGCTTCTAGAGGAGCTGCCTGCTGGGGGGTACTCCACAGTGAGGTCAAGGGGGAGAAGGCTCTGAGGGAGCCTCTCGGGGGAGCCGCCTGCCGGGGTGGGGGTTCCACAGTGAGGTCAAGGGGGAGAAGCCTCTGAGGGAGCCTCTGGGGGGAGCTGCCTGCCGGTGTGTGTGGGGGGACTCCACAGTGAGGTCAAGGGGGAGAAGGCTCTGAGGGAGCCTCTGGGGGGAGCCGCCTGCCGGGGTGGGGGTTCCACAGTGAGGTCAAGGGGGAGAAGCCTCTGAAGGAGCCTCTGGGGGGAGCCGTCTGCCGTGGGGCGACTCCACAGTGAGGTCAAGAGGAGAAGCCTCTGAGGGAGCTTCTAGAGGAGCCGCCTGCTGCGGGGTGGGGGGGGGGGTACTCCACAGGGAGATCAAGAGGGAGAAGCCTCTCCAGCAGCCCTCTGGATCTCTGTGGCAGAGCTTCACGTCGAACCAGCCAGCACGGGCCAGCCCTGTCCTTCAGACCAGGCCTGAGTGTGGACTTGGAGCGGGGGGATGACCTGATACCCACACAGCGGGTCCTGCGTGGGCTTTTTCACCTTAGGGACCTGGGGCTCCTGAGGTGTAAGGAGTTCCCACAGAGCTCCTAGAGAAGGAAATGACAGCCCACCTCAGTATTCTTGCCTAGAAACCCCATGGACAGCGTAGCCTGGTGGGCTCAGTCCATAGGGTCACAAAGAGTAGGACACAGTTGAGCATGCTTGCACATGGAATTGAAGTACAAACAGCTTTTAAATGCTAAGTCTCAGTTTGTCACATATGTGTTGAGAGGAGGTGGAGGGACCAATACTAGGGAGGAATTCCTGCCTGGAGTCCTGACCGTGCTGGAGCCTCACCCAGCCCTCACACCCATGAGGGGTGTTAGCAGTGGCCTCACTCACTCCTCGGGTGAGTCTCAGGGTTAGTCAGCATGGCAGAACCTCTCAGCAGGGGGCGGTGGTGACTCCTGAGGCCAGGTCTGTGTGTCTCCAAGGCCCATGTTTTATCTCTCTGGCGCACCTCACTGTACCCCTACCCTGGCATGCACATGCTAGCAGAGCAGCTCTGCCCTCAGAGGAGCTGGCTGTGGGCAGATGGGACGCGGATCCCCAGCGACAGCACCGGGCCGGGGGGTGGTGAGAAGACTGCTTCCCGCAGGATGGGAGGTTATGGGAGGTTATGGCAGGGGAGGCTGGTCACTGCTGGCCTTAGGGCTTCTGATGGGATGAGGTGCGGGGGTGGGGGCAGTGTGGGTGGACACCCGTTCCTGGTTCTGCACTCACATTAACACGTTCACATGCAGATTGAACCACGTGCTTCTCCAAGGTTCCGGGAACCATCATGGACACTTTCCCAGGTCCTCTCTCGTTCACTTCTCAGAAGAACACACTAGGGCAGGTGCTTGTTTAAAATCACTGAGTCATGTCCGACACTTTTGTGACCCCATTGACCGTAGCCCACCAGGCTCTTCTGTCCATGGGATTCTCCAGGCAGGAGTGCTGGAGTGGGTTGCCATTTCCTCCTCCAGGGGCTCTTCCCGACCCAGGGACTGAGCCTGTATTTCCTGCACTGGCAGGTGGATTCTGTGCCACCGAGCCTTCAGGGAAGCCTGTGGCAGGTGCTGGTAGGCCCATCTTGCAGACGGAGCATAGTGAAGGCTGGTGAGGTTTATTCTCCCACGTTTACTAGCTGGTGCATGCACGCTCAGTCACTCAGTCGTGTCTGACTCTTTGCCACCCCATGGACTGTAGCCTACCACGCTTCTCTGTCCATGGGATTTTCCAGGCAAGAGTACTGGAGTAGGTTGCCATTTCCTTTCCAGGGGATCTTCCTCACACAGGGATCAAACCCATGTCTCCTGTGTCTCCTGCTTTACAGGCGAATTCTTTCACTGAGCCATCAGGGAAGCCCTCATTAGCTGGTCCATGGAGGCATACTGTGAACTCCATAGCTATATGCTTTTTCACCAGCCATATTTACAGTGTTAGCTTATCATGTGGGAAAGAGCTTGTACCCTGCAGCACCCTTTACTGTTATCAGCCTGGGACACTAGATTCCCGATCAGATGCTCTGCCTTTGTGTATTGGTGCGTGGTGTTT